GTACTGTATGTATAGGCGTCTTGATGTTGACATTGGGACGCCTACATTTCTATGAAATGTAGGTATTTTGTACTTTACGAGGGGCGACCCTGAGGCACAGGACTGCCTGTGTGGTGGGTGAAGTTTTTTGAGAAACGCATTCACGCAGCATGTGCTAGTGCTAATGACATTCAACAGTTAGTGTGCTACGCGTTGCTGCCCTAGAAGGTCGTGTTCCGGTTCCCTTATAAATTTTTTTTGCGGCATTCCTTTCGGGCATTCGTTTTTTTGAAGATGTCTGGTTTTCGTGGACAACTTGCTGCCGTCAAATTTCGCTTTCTTCTGATAAATACTGGAGAGGAAATGCTACAGCCAGCCAACAAAGATGAGGCTACGGGTAGAACACAACTTTTTGAGTGGTTTTACCGCTTCAAAAAAAGAGGGAAATGTCAATAGATGGCCAATCTCGCTCAGGTCGTCCTTCCACTAACCGCACTGAAGTAAATGTTGACAAAATTAGGGACCTAATCTTGGAAGAACGACGTAGAAGTATTGACGAACGTGCGGAACTGTCCCAAGTGACTTGGAGTTCAATTCAGCAGATTCTGAAGGAAGATTTTGTACAAATAAATACTTTTTCAACAATCATTCCGTTTTTTGGGGGTCCTCCCTCATATAGTTAATTACATATAGTTATAGTTATACATTGAAACGAATTTACAGATGAAAAATGACGGGACACTGAACCATTTATCGATCGGTTAACAAATATTTACAACGACGAGAGGTCACATTGTGTTTACGATGTTTTCAGCTCAATAAGATTCCATCAGTTCACAATACATGTCGGAACCTCTCATGTGTGATCCTTATAATTATCACGCTTGAAATTTCTTCCCACATTAAGATGTCTGATACTTTTAATTTGATTTTATAAACTTTACGAGCATTCCGACGGCTTTCAATTCGTTGTCACAGACAAGTGTGAGGAGGCCCTCACTTCATCAATAGCTTACGTGCCCACGATATTAACTACGCTTATCTTATCTGCTACTCGATTATCTGATGCCGCTGTCGATTATCTGATGCCGGCGAGCGCAGTCCAGCCAGGGCCCCAAAAACTAATATGTTTGATTTTTGTGGCTTCTACTTGTTACGTGGTACTGGATGTCTGGCCTGCCTGGAACTGCGATCTCTCCGTATCTTAAAAAAATTAGTTCAATTTGTCTGAATAAGTAGACCTGGTATTTTTACTTCAGGTTGCGTATGGTTGAAACAAGGATATACGAACGTATGATGAGTTTACTGGTCTGTTCTACCTTAGCGCGGACACTGGTTCAACCACTTTCTCATGTGGGTACCACCACTTTCTCGAGTGGGCACCACCACTTACTCCGTCTGGGCACCATCATTTTCTCGTGTAGGCGCCACCACTTTTAAGTGTGGGTACCACCACTTCCTCCGTGTGCATGGCACCATCATTTTCTCGTGTGGGCACCACTACTTTTGCCAGAAATTATGTAATGTTTGATGATGCATCTGAATCATAAACATTCACAACGATAATGCTGTCGTCCGGCCTGCAATGTTTATTTCAGTCTGGACTTTCACCAAAAGCTGGCTCTCTGCCAGGCGCCTGTCTCTAACGTGCACTGCCAGACGCTTGTTGGTGCTGTGCACTGCCAGACGCTTGTTGGTGCTGTGCACTGCCAGACGCTTGTTGGTGCTGTGCACTGCCAGACGCTTGTTGGTGCTGTGCACTGCCAGAGGCTTGTTGGTGTTCCAGTTAACAGAGCACAGCACGTTACGGCTGCCACGACTGCAGTTCTGCACTGGACGCTTGCCACGACTGCAGTGCNATGAAACATGACCTCTGAATGCATTGAATAAATTACAAATTTGACGTTCCTCATCATCATAGTTGCCTTCAATTATAAGTTTAATGATATTGGGTGCAATTGTTGCCTGGTCGCTGAGAGGGTGACTTGCGCATTGTTGTATTGAGTAACGCGATGTTAATGTTTGCAAAACGCTTATTACGAATAGTGCATTGTAGTTATCAACAAATTAATCTTGAATTAAAATATATTATTTATAATTCAAATGATCGCTGGTTTTTATATTTGTTTATTCTGCTTGATTTTATGAAATATTCTTGATTTTTTTAAATAGAAAAGTAGATCATTTTTGAGAAGACACTTATGTTGACTTGAAGAGGATAGTTACGTTGACTTGAAGAGAAACGCGACGTCTTGAGGTCGCCGACGAGGAACCGTGACGCCAACTGCAGTGTGGCGCCTATGGTTGCTGCTGGGCTCCTAACATCGCTGCTTCTCAATTACTTGCCATGTTGATTTGTCAGTCGTGCTGCCCTGATTGCTTTTATTGTCTTCACATAGGTATACTGAATTATGTCTTAATTTCTCCTATTCTTTAATTTACCCCCTTAAACTTAATTTCCCCTACTTTCCCCTTTAAATTGATGTCTGAATCGCGTGCTGTTTTTAAAAGAACAAGCGTTCCAGGAGAGCTCAACGAATGCGAAAATTATGGTGTGAGTTAGCTAATTTTTCCGTTATGAAAATGGAGCGAAAAAATAACTCAACGGAAGTATTGACCTACATTTTTAGTGCAAAGTTCACATCCATTCCAATTCACGTTGGATTAGCAATACTGACTGCCCACGCTGTCGTGAGGTTTACCCGACCAATTTTCCGCAGGGGATTCGTGGTTTCTTGAAAATCCGTTTATAGATAAACTTAGACCAACACGTCAGGATACGATAATCTTGGACCAAAGCCTCGGGACATGATAGATAAACTTAGACCAACACGTCGGCACATGATTATCTTGGACCAAAGCGTCGGGACATGATAGATAAACTTAGACCAACACATCGGGACATGATCATCTTGGACCAAAGCGTCGGGACATGGTAGATAAACGTAGACCAACACGTCGGGACACGTAGACCAACACGTCGGGACATGATAATCTTGGACCGAAGCGTCGGGACATGATAGATAAACGTAGACCAACACGTCGGGACATGATAGATAAACGTAGACCAACACGTCGGGACATGATAATCTTGGACCGAAGCGTCGGGACATGATAGATAAACGTAGACCAACGCGTCGGGACATGATAATCTTGGACCGAAGCGTCGGGACATGATAGATAAACGTAGACCAACTAGAGTGGGCGATCTCTCCTGTCTCGGTGAGATAAGAGTGGGCGATCTCTCCTGTCTCGGTGAGATAAGAGTGGGCGATCTCTCCTGTCTCGGTGAATAAGGAGTTGGCGATCTCTCCTGTCTCGGTGAGATAAGATAGTGCGATCTCTCCTGTCTCGGTGAGATAAGATAGTGCGATCTCTCCTGTCTCGGTGAGAAAGGAGTGGGCGATCTCTCCTGTCTCGGTGAGAAAGGAGTGGGCGATCTCTCCTGTCTCGGTGAGATAAGAGAGTGCGATCTCTCCTGTCTCGGTGGGATAACAGTGGGCGATCTCTCCTGTCTCGGTGAGATAAGAGTGGGCGATCTCTCCTGTCTCGGTGAGATAAGAGTGGGCGATCTCTCCTGTCTCGGTGAGATAAGAGTGGGCGATCTCTCCTGTCTCGGTGAGATAAGAGTGGGCGATCTCTCCTGTCTCGGTGAGATAAGAGNTCGTGTTTTGTTTTATGTTGAATATAATTCGTGCTCTTATTTTACGATCAATATAATTCGTGCTATCATTTTACGTGGAATATAATTCGTGTTTTTATTTATTTTGAATATAATTCGTGCAGTTATTTTCCTTTAAATTATAAGCGGTTCTTGCCTTGTGCTATTTAACGTGGATCTCCGTCGCGCACATATGGCCATATGGCCGCCCTGCGTATGCTGGGCCACTAGTTCACATATGGCCGCCATGCGTGTGCTGGGCCGCTAGCTCACATATGGCCGCCATGCGTATGCTGGGCCACAAGCTCACATATGGCCGCCATGCGTATGCTGGGCCACTAGCTCACATATGGCCGCCATGCGTATGCTGGGTCACTAGCTCACATATGGCCGCCATGCGTATGCTGGGCCGCTAGCTCACATATGGCCGCCATGCGTATGCTGGGCCACTAGCTCACATATGGCCGCCATGCGTATGCTGGGCCACTAGCTCACATATGGCCGCCATGCGTATGCTGGGCCACTAGCTCACATATGGCCGCCATGCGTATGCTGGGCCACTAGCTCACATATGGCCGCCATGCGTATGCTGGGCCACTAGCTCACATATGGCCGCCATGCGTATATGCTGGGCCGCTAGCCCACATATGGCCGCTGCAAAGGGCACATCACGAAATCATTGACCGGCAATAATATTGTTCGTTACTTATTACGGTATCCAGAAAGTAACGCTTAGCAGTTTATTTTTTCAAAGTTTCTGATGAAAAAATTTCAGTCGTGTATATTTCGCCTCTGAAATAACATTTTCATTTTTACTTGTGTGGTGCTTTGGTAGACCTAAAGTTAGCTTATATTATTGTAGATTGAACATATAAATATTAAATGCATTAACATTCTCATCACTCGCTGAGATGCTACGACTAAAGAAGGCACTTGTTGTACATAGCAAAATTTTTAAAACGGATATCTTCGTATTCAAATTTCATTTCGAAATTTGAATCTTGCAAAATAACGGGAAAAATTTCATTTCATACTTTATATATTAAAATTTTGTCATACTGTGAAGCTATGTGAGTTAGGTTGTGTGGGCTGAATTGTTTCACCGTTAAACATATGCTGTTCTAAATAACAACTAAAGACGGCATTAAATGTAAATTATACATTGAAGGTTTCAGCAACCTTGAGCAGTTACATGGGATTACAAAAACACGATGATATAAACTAAAACTACCATAATTTTTTGCCGTAGGAGAATTAGTTTCTTGTAAGATCCGAGAAAATTTGGAGTACGCGTTTTGTTGTTCTGTTATCAATTAAGAGGCCACGATTTGATCTAACGCGAGGTTTTTCTTGTTTGCAGTGAAGAGGGCAAACTACGTTGGAATCCAAGGTTAGTACGTAACTGCGTTGGGATTCAAAGTGAATAACTGCCTTTGAATCCAAGGTAAGCAGCTGCGTTGGAATTCAAGGGAAGTAACTGCGTTGGAATTCACGGCAAGTAACTGCGTTGGAATTCACGGCAAGTAACTGCGTTGGAATTCACGGCAAGTAACTGCGTTGGAATTCACGGCAAGTAACTGCGTTGGAATTCACGGCAAGTAACTGCGTTGGAATTCACGGCAAGTAACTGCGTTGGAATTCACGGCAAGTAACTGCGTTGGAATTCACGGCAAGTAACTGCTTTGGAATTCACGGCAAGTAACTGCGTTGGAATTCACGGCAAGTAACTGCGTTGGAATTCACGGCAAGTACGGTCGCCCCACCCCGACCACGAGAGCCGCTGGACCCTAATTTGATCAGCGACGTTTGAGGTCACTTTGGCAATTCCAGACTCACGGAGCGCGGTGCTTCTAAACATTGCCTTCTCTTCGGAACACTCAAACATTATAATTTATAAAGCTATCCTAACTGATATGTCGTTGGTTTATTGAGGCTGGCGACGGAATGTTGGGTTTCACATCTCAATTCATATATATGTGTATTTATAAAGTTTATGTATAAATCTTCTCTATATGAACAGAGCTTGGTATAGGGAGTTATATTCAGCGGCTCTTTGCTGCTTATAACACTGCAACGAGATTATTTGATGCTAGCAAGGCTACCCCATTATGGAAATAGGAATCTAAACTCATTGCAAATAATCTCAGTACGGTAGTTAACTTCAAAAATCTGATAACACATTCGTATTTTATTCAAGCCACTTAACATCGAGGCTAACTTCTTTCATCAGATATGTCATGATCCTCTAAGACTATAAGACGTGTTAGAGGGTTATAGCTTGAGTTGGACTTTGGCAACTAAGATTTTTTTCATTAAGTAAAAAATAATAATTATCTCTGAATAAAGTTTGAATTCGTCCACCTTCAGTATGTGGCAGCTTTTTTGCGCCTGATAGATCAATATGTTCCGTATTTCTGTCGATCTCACCGGCGTCCTTGCACCGTCGACTTGATCGATATATTTAACTCTTGGTAACATTTCTTCATTAATCTTAAATTTAATCTGCTAATAGTAATATCTATCACTGTGATATGTGTAATTCAAATCAAAGCAACATGCGTCATTTACATATACTTGGTATACTAGGTTTTGAGGCGTTATGTGTACTAGGTTTTGATGCATTAGGTGTACTAGGTTTTGAGGTGCTATACGTATGTTTTGAGGTGTAGGTGTTGATGCACTAGATGTACTATGTTTTGAGGCGCTAGATGTACTATAGGTTTTGATGCTTTAAGATTAACTGCTGGTTGTGTTTGAACAGACCAGATCACCAGCTACGTCTCACTCAAGCTCCAGAATGTCAAGTCCACGACGGTGTGCGTCAAGGGCAACGAACCTCGCTGGGAGCAAGACTTCCTCTTGTGAGTGCATCTTCCTATTTCTTTTTTCCCTATTTTACTACGTTATATTACTAATATTTATCAGGTTATATTAATAATATTATATATGGTTATATTAATAGTATTTTATCAGGTTATACTACTAATACTGTTGGGGTCAACGACCCTACTCGGTCAACATGCATGATCGAATATATAAGGTACCTTAGTCATTGAAAGTCTTCAATTAATATCACTTCATTACCATGATTTATCCACTATTGAATAAACATTCTACGTGCTGGCCAAACTGATATTTGCGCGGACAAAAAGACTAAGTGTCGAGCGTCTAGTCTTGAATTTTGAGGCTTACTTACAAGAACAAAATGAATAATAATTATACTTCTCACTTGTAAACTGAGGCAATAAATATACAAATAAAATAACGCAGAACAAATAAATTCTGTACATCGATTCATATCAATTCGAGCCACATATTCTAATTAAATAATACACGTTAGGACCTAACACTACGTACGTACCTCTACAAACAAACAAACAATGAACAAATTTAAAATAATAAATAAATTTCAAATAAAATTACACGCAAGATCATAAAATATACACGAGTTTTCCCTACAATTAATATATATATATATATATCTAATAATATAACGCTGACTGTATATTATGTTTATTAGTTGCACATCAATTTTCAGTATTATTTTTCTAGCAACATGAGTCGGCTTGAACGAGCTATAATCTTATTGATATGACTACTAAATAAAAGCGTATTTACGTTTCCTCACAAACTGGAATTACTGATAAGCTGTCATATTCTAGCTTGAAACTCGTTACTTCATATCTATTGTCATGTCATATTCGAACTAATCACATGCTTCTCCATGTTCAAATTTTATAGTCCCTGTCACTCACAGTTGCTAGAATCACTTCATAAGTCTTTCCATTCGGATCAGTCACTGTAAATGAATCAGTCAATCTCGTATGCACTTGCATCCCTATTTTTTATTAGTCTTTCCCAGATGCCTTAGTTAATTATTTTGTACGGTACCTGTCATTTTGAATTTAAATTTCCGATCGCCGCTGCCATCCGTCTCAGTTATGTATATCGTCGCAAACGGTTCCTATTTTATCTTTCTAATTATTATTCCTATTCTATTGGCGCTGCTATAAATTGTGTGTTTTTTGCGAGTCATTACTGATAAGGGAGTCTGAAATGTGAGGAGAATCTCGTCGAATTGCGCTGGGAATTGTAACAAGACCCTATAGCGAATACGTGCCGATGCAACTAACCCCGACACTTGGAACCCGGACCAACATTCCAGCCTCGGATTCGTCAAGATTTTCGTCAAGTTTTTCGTTGATACCGTGACATGGAATGGCGCTGTGTGAGGTCATCACATTTCTGCGCACGAAATGCATAAATCGCACAGAAATAAAGAACGATAACGAGACGCCTGCGTAAGCAATGCGAAAATTACGCAGAAATAAAGAACGATAATGAGACGCCTGCGTAAGCAACGCGTAAATTACGCAGAAGTGAAGAACGATAATAAGACGCCTGCGTATGCAATGCGTAAATAAAGCAGAAGCGAAGAGCAGTAATTAAACCTCTGCGTACGCAATGCGCAAATTAAGCAGAAGTGAAGAACAATAATGAGACGGGCGCAATGCGTATATTACGCAGAAATTTTGAACGATGATGAGACGCCTATGCGTGCGACGCCTTCACCAAACAATGCTCGCATGCAATGATTGTACATGAAATAAACATGCGCAATACTTTGGTTCTGTGGCACATGACTGACTGAATCAATCTCATTCCATGAGCTCTAAATCGGCTCTCATGTCATAATTACATAACATCTGTTCACGGGCAGCTTGTTTGGCTACAAACACCATAATTTTTTTCCACCTCACCATTTATAACTGATATTGATATATATGATATATTTATAAATATGACATTGATATATTTATAAACATGACATGAACATAGTTTTATGTCCGTGCATGTTTCATTCTCATTATCTCGACACTATATTTGTCTCCTGCCAAATTGTGCAGTCCATCGCAACTTAATGGCTTGCTGTGCTCATAATCTTACGTCCCTTAACTCACCTGGCAAATAACGTTGAAATAACGTTTAATTAACGTTGATTTAACGAATTCAACGTCAGATGTTCGGTAGGAAGTGGCGGTGATGAATGCAAGTGTTTAGAGGCAGCTGCGTGTGAAGTCTGTCTTATTATAATAGCCGTCCTTCTAATTAGACCTGCACACAACCTTGTGCTCAGTCAACCTGTCCTTGTATCGCTGCATTCTTGTGTTTCTACTTCTTTTGCCTACAAATAAAAATGTATTGCTACAACACGCTGCTTAGTAGCATTTGCTATTAAAAGTATTGATTAAATAATGAAATACGAGTTTCCTGCGATGTTAGGAGTGACAAACTACTGCTGAAAGCCGGAAAGATAAATAAAGTAATCTATTATCATACTATAAAGAATTTTTCACAGCTTATAAATTTCTTGTGTACCTTCGAAATATAACATTTCTACTAGGCATTCTTTCGAAATTATATACAAAATAGAAATATTATTTTATATATAAATCATTATATCATTATTTATAATCTATATTGTATAAAATCATTATATATAAAATACTTTATCATATATAATTTACAAAAAATATAATTCAGTACTCACTGCAGTGAGTGACAGAAAGCGCATTTTCTCGTCGACGAAAACGTGAAGTCAAGGACGGACAGACAGACAGACATGGCGAGCACAATAGTGATTTTTTTTTCATAAATGAGAAAATGCGCTAAAAAGGGTGGCCAATTCATGTTGAGTATATATCAGATGTCCAGGCCTCCGCATCTTCCTCAGTCATCCCTTGCTGACAAGCTTACCACGTTGCAAGATTTTTTTTACCTTCATCGTTTATCAGCCTGAGCATTTGAGTTTAATTTTTGCTGTGGCAATTTGATGCGAAAGCGCCTGCCATTTGTGTTGTCCTCATAAGCCAGCAACAAACAAAAGCTTTGCACAGGCGGCAACTGTCGTGGCATTTGTGCCCAGGCTGAAATTCTTGGCTACATTTGGCCCCTAAAATAAAAGAACCTGCAAGGCGGCATCAGCACATTGCTGCCTACTGCTTTAGTGCAGCTCTACTGAGCCTCAGTGAGGCTCTATTGCAGCTCTACTGAGCCTCAGTGAGGCTCTATTGCAGCTCTACTGAGCCTCAGTGAGGCTCTATAGTGCAGCTCTACTGAGCCTCAGTGAGGCTCTAGTGCAGCTCTACTGAGCCTCAGTGAGGCCACAACTGAGCCAGTGTTTAGTCTCAGCTGAACTCAATTGCTGTTGGCTATGCCGACCATTCTTCCCCCCTCCTTAGCTACAATTTGAACCTTGCGTGCATGTGTGGAGTTTTCTGTACATTTCAAAATGCTATAATACGTAAAAAATATTTTGTTGCTTACTGCAAGCTTTTGCTCGCTCTAATGGAGCCCCATAAAAAATTTGGTTTTAAATTTCGCTTCGAGCGAAAATCTCGCCATGCACGCCCACGAGCACTGCCATAAGATAATGCCTATACATCACATGAACCGCCTGGGGTGTTCGCGCCAAAAATATTACTAAAATAATTTAATTTTTTGCATAAATGAATGTATGCCGCGTGGCTGACCGATTTGAATGTCTGATCGGAGATCAACGCTAGACCCAATACCGGCTGGACTGACACACTTTCAAGCTTAATTATCGTGAGGTTTACATATGCGAAATCAGAAATGAAGTGTTTTTGTTAGTCATTTTGATTTAAAACAATTCAATCTGTTTCATAATGTAAAAGAAATGAATAATTAATAATTTTCTCATCAGACCAAAACAGGTGTGATAATACTACATGCGTGACTTACCAACCACATGGAATACAGGATATTAGGGACAAATTTAAATAAACGTCTAGGTTTTTGAACGATAATGTGGAAAAACTGGAAATATATGCATAAAATTAACAATTTTCCTTGTACACTTATAAACTTTTTGTAACATTTTCTCCGATAATGCTTTACAAGGCGGAATTTCAGGACAACTTGAACCCACGTGTAACTTTACTTTTTGAAAATACCGCCGCGGAAAAAGTTACAATAATATTATTAATGATTTCAAAGTTTTACAAAAACTAATGAATTGCAAGAGCTTTGAAGAAATGACGGCATATGAAACATGACCTCTGAATGCATTGAATAAATTACAAATTTGATGTTTATCTCATAGTTGCTTCTAAATAAGTTTAATGTTATTGGGTGCAATTGTTGCCTGGTCGCGGAGAGGGTGACTTGCGTGTTGTTGTATTGAGTTACGAGATGTTATGTTTACAAACCGCTTATTCGAATAGTGCATTGTAGTTATCTACGAATTAATCTTGAATTGAAATATATTAATTATAATTATTTGAATGAGCGCTGGTTTTATTTTTGTTTATTCTGCTTGATTTTATCAAATATTCCTGAAATTTTTTAAATAAAAAGGAGATTATTTTTGAGAGGACAGTTACGTTAACTTCAAGAGGATAGTTACGTCGACTTGAAGAGAAACGCGACGTCTTGAGGTCGTTGTCGAGGAACTGTGACGCCAACTGCAGTGTGGCGCCTATGGCTGCTGCTCGGCTCTTAACATCGCTTTTCTCAATTACTTGCCATTTTAATTTCTCAGTCGTGCTGCCGTGATCGCTTTTATTATCTTCACATATACAGAATTATGTCTTTATTTCCCTATCCTTTAATATCCCCCTACCTTCTCCTTTGAATTGATGTCTGAATATAACGTGTTGTTTTTCAAAAGAACAATCGTTCCAGAATAGCTCGACGAATGCGAAAACTATGGCGTGAGATGGCACATTTTTCCGTTATGAAAATGGGGCGAAAAAATAACTCAACGGTAGTATAATTAACTTACATTTTTGGTGCGAAGCATCAAATTGGATATTGTAATTCTAATTTCTATTAAATTTTTTTATTTATAATTATAATTTCTATTTCTTCTATTCTAATTCACGTTGGATTAACAATACTTACGTCTCACAATGTCGTGAGGTTACCCGACCAATTTCCAGCAGGCGATTCATGGTTTGTTGAAAATCTGTTTATAGAGAAACTTAGACCAACCAACACGTCGGGACATGATAATCTTGGACCAGCACGTCGGGACATGATAGTCTTGGACCAACACGCCGGGCTTTATAGTATTGGACCAACACGTCGGGACATGATAGATCAACGTAGACCAACACGTTTGATAGATAAACGTAGACCAACACGTCGGGACATGATAGATGAACGTAGACCAACACGTCGGGACATGATAGATAAACGTAGACCAACACGTCGGAACATGATAGATAAACGTAGACCAACACATCGGGCATGATAGACAAACGTAGACCAACACGTCGGGACATGATAGATAAACGTAGACCAACACGTCGGGACATGATAGATAAACGTAGACCAACACGTGGTAACGGTGGTATCTTGTGTTGAAGTCAACTCTAGCTCATGGTTGCCCCAATTAAACCCGCAATTAGTGAAGTTTTTTGGCACATTTTTAAGTTTCTTGACACGTTTGCTATATCATTATAGAACTTAGTTAAGATTAATTTTATTATTCATTATTTTTTTACTTTTTATCAGTATGCACAGACAAATTTTTTCAATATTTCTAGGGATTCAAACGGTACCAGAGGTTATTAGTTTAGTTTATAACGTTACTTTTTACATTCTATGATAAGTGTTTTTGTTGTAAATATTTTGTTTCTTTGTGTGTGCGCTTGGAGGTGGTCGATGTAAGAACAAATGTCCTGCATGGTCAGAAAAATAAAAAAATGCCAACCACCGGTGGAGGAAAACCAGCAGATCTAAAAACGGGCGAGGCTTGCATACGTTGCACCATGGCGGTGTGTAATCGCGTCGCCTTGTGCCTGCGACAATCCCACCTTGTGCTGGAATGAGTTACTCTGCCGGAACCATAAACATAGAAACTAGAAGCTGTTCGTTATTCATGATAGTGATTTACTTTCCTGAGATTCAGTAGAGTTGAGATAAATCCACGCCGCTACCCATTGAAAAATATTAACTAACACCTCTACGCTTGACCTTAATTAAGATAGTCTTAGCGCCCTGGCCGAACCAAACTTAGAACTCCTATTATGTGATGTTCTTGTACATTTTATTGTACTTTTTTTACTTTAACTGTTTTTTTAATATTTTTTTAATTAACTTATTTTTTCCTTTCATAATCAACATTCATAATCAATTGTGCGCAATAATCCAGTGTTTCTCCTATTTTTTCGAATAAATTTTTGTTGTGCTACATCATGAAAAAGTATGAACTGCCATCTCCTACCTGCCGCAGTCGCCCATAGAAAAATATTTAATAATCACTTATTAAAATTTTTTCAATACATCACTTGCGACCAGTTTAGATTATTTGATGTGACCATGTTTTGATTTGGATATGATGTCGGGTGTTTTTGAAAATATACGTTTAAAGTTTAGTCACAATTTTACATGCGCACAGCATCTCGTACGTGCTTAAATTTTCACTCATGAATGATGCTTGAAGCGCCTTTGTTATTTCTTGTCTGGCAGCAAGTTATCTTGCTTCTACATGTAAGTTGCTCCGTTATGAAGAATATTTGCACAGGTCATGCATACTGAATCGATAATGCAGGCTTTGTATACTGTACATTCTAGAGTAACTTGAGAGATGCAAATAATGGCGCTTGCTCATGATATTGGCCACGGGCCGGGCGATCGGGCTGCGTTAATTAACCAGAGTTTATTGTTAATAGCTGTAAAATATTAAAGCCAGCATTACAAAATCCTATATTAATTAAGATCAGGAATGTGTGCTACTAAATTGCTTAATTTTACTGCAACGCGATTGGAATTGCAGCCCAGTTTACTCTCCTCGCGTTTCCGGTCTGAATTCTGCTTTAATATTAGACTGTTATTTAGAATGTATGTTGAGGCAGTAAGAAAAATTAGGATTTCAAAAGTTTTACGAGTGTGTATAGCAGAAATGAGTTATTTTGCTTTACAGCGTTTTGATGGCTCACTGAATTTGCTCGTTACCTGCAGCGATCTTGCCTAAATGCTGTCCGTAAATCCTGCCAAATGCAAACATCTCTTCTGATCCTGCGAGAATTTCCTAGCGACTAGCACCTCGAAATGCTGTGGTAAAAAGCATAGCGTCAATAAGACGCGTTATTAGAAAGAATATTTGCCAAAATAACCTCGTTTAAGTGTAAAGACTGGTTTATTTTGATTTATATAGGTCAATGTTATGCATTTTTTTCACTCTGGACAGTTATGTTCTAGAACGGGATTCTAAAATGCCTGCATGCTGTTCATGAAAAAAATAAAAATAAAAAATAATAAAGTAAATAAAAAATGAAATCTTAAGTTTAATAATTAGTCCTAAATTCATTTTCTGTTTAGCCTCAATGTTTTTTTGTAAACATTGCTGTCTGGATATTTGAACACGAGATGTTTGTTTTCGAAACATGACATCGTCGACGCTCTGCGTGATAGTTAAGTTTTACTCTCCTCTCTCTCCTCACTTACTCTAATTATGATTTTAATTAAAGCACCCAGACCTCAGGCTTCTGAGATAATGTTTTTAAGAAAATAATTTTCTTGCAGCGAAACGAACCGCCTTGACACGGGGCTGCTGCTGGAGGTGTGGGAGAAGGGACTTATCTGGGACAAAGCTATTGGCTGCCACTGGATCCCTCTCACTGATGTCCAGTACTCCAATGAGGTGAGGGCCACTGGATCCCTCTCACTGATGTCCAGTACTCCAATGAGGTGAGGATGTGGCTCATACAGGTACGTAATTGTTTATATGCGAGGACTGCATGTAATAAGTAATTTCAGTTTCGAGTTTTGAAATTATTTGGATTTTTTCTATGTTTATCATGAATAATTTAAAGATAAACATGGGGGAAAATCGAAACGGGTAATTACGGCAAATCTGATACGAATAGTGAACTTTTCTTCAACAAATCGGATGAGCCAGGAGAGAGAGCTATGAAAACTGAATTTGTTAATAGCTAGAGAGCTAAAGATGAGAGTTACGAGATTAAGCGCGTGATCCTAAGAGTAGAAAACAAAGAATAAATATCTACAAACTACAAACTAATTTAATGTTCAATACTTTACTATACGTATTTCCCAACACATTCGAATCCAAACACTATCACATGCAATAACTTGACCAGGCTTTGGAGTAAAAATCCTTTATGAGAGGAACTAGTACGGAATCTGAGGCTTAACAAATGGCTTCTAAAAATTTAACGCCCACCTCATCACTGGGCGCGCTTGATCTTCGCGGTCCAATAGCCAGTAGTAGGAAATTTTCAACTGCTATATTACATATTTTATTACATACTGTATTATTTGCCAAAAAGACATGAGACCTGAGTATGTCATGAGTTATACAGAGAAGGATTTCGGTAATTAAAGTGTCTGTATTCACACTTGTACACAAGCGAGGCTGAGTGACGTGTTGTCTACAGAGCGGTGAAGGCACGTCGCTTCGTCTGGACGCCAACGTCGTCCACGAGGACGGCGAGGTTAGAGGGACGAGCGCCCCCACCGCCCACACCCTCGTCGTCGACTGCCGCTTCGAGCTGCCCTGGGGTGAGTACAGGCGACGGCGACACGCGGGTGACGAGCAGGCGACGTGCAGGCGACGTGCAGGCGACGTGTAGGCGACGTGAGGTCGTGCAAACTCCTTGACGTGTTGTCGATCATTGACTTGCTTGGCAATTTTTTGACGTGTAGGCAATTCCTCCGACGTGTCTGGCTGCTTTCTCAAGGTTTCCTATAGTATTTTCTCAGTAACTCTGTCAACATTTGTGGAGCGCCAGAGTTGACTCAACATGCATTACCTGCGCGAGAAATCTGATCCTTATTCACACGTTTCGTCCTTCGTAATAACATAACTGTCTAATGCTATTTCTAAATATGGGTTCTTCGAAATGACTAAAATTTTCGATGTATTGTCAATATATTTCAACAAAAGGTTTCGATATTTTTACTAAATGTTTTGCTACATGCGTTGCCTACTCAATAAGTTTCGATGTATACAAGAAACGAGTGGGCAGAGTGGCCCAGCGGTTCCAGTTCAGAGTACCAAGATTGGCGCAGAGAGGTGCGTGTTCGATCCCACCTCTGTGCACCAGTTTCTGGTCAGAATCGGCAAGGAGGCCGGGCGGTTAAGCACAGCAGAATTGTCACAGTGAGTTACGAGTTCTTGCCCGCAACAAGCTGTGAATGTTCTGCGATGTTAAGAATCGGCGGCAGGCCTACGGCCTAATAAATGCTGAAACCGCTATTAATATTATATTATAATTAAAATAACGTATTAACAAAAGGAATCAGCGCCTTCTTAAAACATTTGGATTCATCCTCAATATTTTTCGTCGCACGAAATAATAAAATGGTCTTATACCATCTCAAAATTTTTCGATGTATGTTAAAACAAAATGCTCAAGACCATTCAAAATTTTTCGATGTACATAGTAACGAAGTGAATCAGTCTGTTCACGAAATACCTTTGCATATTTAAACACTAAGTTCATATACAATTTAATATTCATGCATAGTAAACGCTGAATTTTTCGAGGTTCAATCTTCCCGCTACTGAAATTCTGTGCTAACATGCGCAAATAATTTTTTTCAGAGATATAAATGTAATCAAGTTAGCGCTTAAATGTTAGTGGGACGGCATTGCAATGTTGCACAGCATCCTTTGTTTATTTGATTTATTTTGACGCAATTAGACTAAACGACTTTTCCGTACCTTGCAAACGACTGCCGAGAAGAGGTTTTGGTACAAATGAAATTTAAATTTGTGGCATTATAAACTTAGAACAATAATTGTATGTAAATTCAGAGCAGGACGTTATCTTTAATGAATTTATTTATCGCAGTGAAGTTTTGATTAAGCCTAAGTGACTCGTTCAATAATGTGCAATTACCGGCAATTTCAATTATTTCATTTGAAAAGATTGTTTATGTCATCTATAATCAGTGCAGCTAAATACCACTTGCTTCTGAAGGGAATCGATCTACTTTTCCCTCAGAAAAATATATATAATAAATGAAATAATAATAATAAATGTTAACTGAATTTCTGGTCTTTGATAAGGACCATATTCTCTTGCTGCCCTACGAGTCTAATTATTCATGTGTATCGTAGTCTTATTATGTGTATCGTATTTTATTATGGGAGTCGTAGTCTAATTATGGGAGTCGTAGTCTAATCATTTAAAGGTATTGTAATAGAATAATTATTCATGGTTCTCATAGTCTAATTCTATATGAATTTCCTGACCCTTAATTGTTCTCTTCTACCGCGGCTCTGCAGGCAAGAAAGCTAAAGAACGAGCCAAAAGAAAAGGTAGGCCTGGCTAACCTGTTTGTTGCTAACCTGTTGGTAGCTCCTGAGACCTGTTGATACCCATACCAGCACCTGCTGGGTGCTATTACTTCCATTACAACTCTAGAACCCTCACTACCTCCCTCTCGTACCCTCACTACCTCCCTCTCGTACCCTCACTACCTCCCTCTCGTACCCTCACTACCTCCCTCTCGTACCCTCACTACCTACCTCTCGTACCCTCTCGTACTCTCTTTGCTCTGAAAGGCTGGAAGATGCCGTAGTGTTCGTCTTCCACTGATTTTGTGTTCAACTGGAGTTTAATGCATAGAAGAAACCAACTTAAAAGAAAGGGCATAAAAAAATTAAAAACATTGTTTGAAGCTCACAAATACTAACGCGGAGTAGGGTTGGAATTCTAAATCTGATACTTACCAACCAGACGAAATATTTTGTGCCACCCTTGCACGTTCATCCATGCGTGATCACAGCCACACGTTCATCCAACATGTCGCTTCATGCCTCTTGCTTGGCGTTCACCAGACTTTGCATGCTTACAATAATACTTTACTACATGCCTATAGTACTGAATAATACTTTAATACATGCCTAAAGTACTTAATTTTTTTACTCATGTCATGGAATGCTCAATATCCATGCAATTCCATTACACTTGCCATGGAATGCCCGTTTTACACATAACTTCACAAGTAATGTTGCCTTATTCTTCATATTCGCTTTCTTTTACGCCCATCATACTTGTATACATCTGTGGGCGAGAGATGAGCTTTATTTTCATCTCCGATGTTGTTAATTCTTTAACCTGAAATTCTTTCTAATAAAGTTATTTTCATCTTCCGCTACAGTCATCTCATTTATGTACCAGACGTTTGCTTCTTGCAAAATTTTTTAATTTTTATTGAACACTTATTTTCGGCACACTACTCTGCATTAATAATTACGACTACTAATAATACTCTAATAATATTCTGTCTAATAATAATAATAATAATACCTACTCTACTAATAATACTCTGTCAATAATTACGACTACTAAAATTTTATGAAGTGCGAACAGCGAATTTGTAATGAATTTTTTATAGAAGGCGAGCTTACTCGATTATCAATACCGCTTATTTACACGTAGCCTAGAAATTTACATTTGCAACTAAGCTCAAGCTTTAACTTCGTTATTTACTACTCTTATTCTTAGTATTAAATTAACGTTAACCGCGTTTCACGTAGAACGCGTTGACACGAGACCAGCAAAGGCAGAGAAATCACTCAGAAAAATAAGCGATATTCTGTTCAAATTGTGGTGAAATTTTTTGCCTGTGTGTGTGTCATCTTGACCCAGTTAGGCTCAGTAAATCAGTGCTACGTGTAGAATGTGTGTCACTAATTGGACAACTTGACTCAGTCATTTAACTAAGAGTACAATTAATTTCTTTACCCGCATATTGTCTCGTGCGTCCGCGTTGATGTCTCCAGTCCAAAGCACAGTAAAAATATGAAGTTTTATTAAGTTTCGCTGCTTCTTGTTCGTCTCTTCATATCGTTTCGTTTGTCTTATTGTGCCAGGATTCTATTAATTTTCTCATCGGATCTACTATCTCAACCCAACAATGCGATTTTGTTATCAATTTCATTATCGTAAGCACAATCTTCATACTGTAATGGAGAGCAACGTTGCTTCCAGTTACACCCAGTTCAGTTATTAATTAAACCATCTTCCGGCTTCTATCCATTGAGTTCCATCCAGTTGCTCCTTATTATTAGAACTTTTAGTATTTCATTGCTAAAAAAGGGAAATGGTAAGAAATTTGGCTTATTTTAATTAAATAGTTTCGCTGATAATCAGTTACAAAATATTAAGAAAACAAATAAAATCAAAAGAACGACCAAATTTACGCGAAAGACATTATAACCTAAAAGTCAAAATAAACGAGCAAAGTTCCAGCTTCAATAAGTTTCAAGCTGATAATCCAAAGTCAAAACTAAACTAAATTAAACAAATTACAATTAATAACTTTCTAACTTTCAGCCTCAGGGATTCTACGGAATCCCATTCAGATAAAACTTAGTACGCATGAATTTAAGTTCTGAATGCATAGGATTAATGTGGAGCAATTTCTATAACCATGATGGATAAATTCGTGAATATTCAATTCAAAACGAAATGAACAAAAACTTGAAGTTCGTGACCAAACTGGCGAACGTCGCTTTGCGACAAAAGTAAATCTGAAAGCTACCTTTAGATTTAGTTATTTTACAATCACAAAACGAAAAACTATTATTGACTTCCTGCTCCATGGTAAACTTTAATGATAAATATTTTAAGTTAAAATAGTCGAATTAAATGTCAGCGAAAAGGACGCTTTGAATATAAAGTTGTCTTGTACTCAAGGGGGATATTGGCCAGCAGAAAAATCTCATTCAAACACTGGAAAATATTCGCAAATGTAGAACCAGTTAAGAAGAAGGTCCATGCGACATACCTGCATGCGTCCGAGAACGGATCTCAAATTTTAGGCTCAGCCGTTAGTGCTTTAGATGTAATGATCTTGAAATAGTTGCATGTTTCAAACGGAAACTGTGTCAAAGCATCGCTTGTATTATAATCACTTGAAATGTTGATTCAATTGGTTTTTCGTCACGTAGCACGTTTGCAGGTTTTATTTTTTTACAATAAATTTTAACAGTCCACTGATTATACTTGTATTATTTTTGAAGTTTTGTACTAATGAATGAGCTTGTCTCTAAAACGTTTTCAATGAAAATTTTATGTATTTACTTGACATTCAAAATTCATGTCTCAGTAATGCAGGTGCACAGCCTATTAATTGTATTCTTTTATATGCTAGTTATCTGCATTTAGCAAATCATTGCTGCTTGCTTCACAATATTTTACGATTGATATAACAAAGACACAAGACACGGCAGCCAATAAAACAATTGTACATATACAATGCTAAACTCTTGTCATCTCACAGCATCGTCATCATCAAACAATGAACGTAGATTTTTCTTGATCTATCGCGCCCTCCAAGCTTATTGAAATTTTTCACGTATGCGGTCAGTTATAGGAACAGTGTGGATGAAATGGAAGTATTGAGAACAGTTGTTTTCACATTCAATAGTTAGTAGCTCAAATCTTGTTATTAGCAAGATTTTGATATTTTTTACGGTGTACGGTTAAATTTTCGATTCATTTTTCCTGGAACTGAATTGTTTCGATTTATCAGTGTTGACGAAAAAAAATCGGAAAACTTCTGTAATAAACAGGCTTAACATATTTGTAATTTCCCATGACCAATGATTTGGCGTTGTTTTTAATTAATAGCTTCGTTATATGTTGATCCAAATTGATTTCTGGAAGACGGGCTGCCATTTCCTATTTTTAAATTTGCTAACGGGGGCCAATATATTTGCGAGTATAAAATTCCGTTCGCGTTGCATTGGTCACAAAGGGGGAATTTGCGCGAAGCTTGCTGTTTACCGTGCCCTCCTTCCCTCAGCTGCTGATTCTTCAGCTGCGGAAACTCGTTTGTTCTCATCGTCAGCTTCTGCCTCTTCACCTCCTTCTCCTCACCGACCTTCCATCTCGACCATCAAGCTCCTCAACGCAACTACCTACGAGACCATCGAGTGCTCCTCCGATACGAGTGAGGCGCAAGAGGATGGATCTATCAGAGGAGGCCTCTTCAGCGCCACCGCCTCTGAAACAGTCGACTCAGGCATCGGCAACGACGAAGTCGCATCAGAGTCAAGCATCACCTCCAGAGTTCTGGGATTTCGATCATCAGAGCTCAAGAGTAGTCTTTTCGAGTCCACCAATGATGAAGAGACTGCAAAGGCTCCGTCCAAAGAGTCGGATTCTGGATCCGCCTCTCGAGACCCTACCAACAAAGTTACGCTTATCACTTCCAGATTTTCGTCGTTGTCCCAACTTTCGGGGGATGAATCATCAGCGCAAAAACTTTCTCCTGAAGCTACTAGTCCTCCAATTTCAAACGCTGAGAAAGTCTTCAGTAATCCGCCTGAAGTGGTCAGTCCTGTTGTTGGCCATTTTAATATACGACTGCTCAAGGAAAATGCCATTCGTGAGATCGAAGGTTTGGATCCTTTGCCTTTTTCTCCTAATCATGAGGACTCGGCGTCAACGTGTAGTTTCCTCACGGTGTCTGGCTCTAGCGGTTATTTCTCTAAGGCTGGAACTGGTGAAGGATTCACGTCTCCCAAGTTTTCTCCGTCTGCTGATGCCTTCCTACAATCGGACGACACCGATGAATCCAAGATTAAACCTACGTCGAGTTCCTCGCCGCCGGAGAGGTTGTGCACAAAAACACAAACTACCGAGTCTTTCAAGCCTACTAGATTCTCTTTCTTAACAAAGGAGTACCTGCCTGCGGCATCTGCTAAGGATGTTGCTAGTCCTCCTAGTCTTCCAGCCACTCCAACGGAAGTTTGTGACGTGACGGTTGCCAGCACTGCACCATCTACCTCTAGTGACGAGTCCAGTGCCACTGTGATCACTTCCACAGCCATCCATAAGACCGTGACTCCTTTAGCCAAATCAAGATTCTTCCCATTTTTGAACGTTAACCGTGAAGAGGAGGAGACATTAGAGGAACCCGAACTCATATCACCCGAGGGTTCGGAAGAAAGTGAACTCACTCCGTCAGGTGAATGCTTCTGTTGTGTACAGCTAGCGCTGAAGGTGTCGACGGAAGGTAACGAACGTTCTTACGTCATCTATGCTCGAAACGTCAGCATGTTGGAGACGTCAACAACACTCTTCGTGTTAAATAGTTTGTTCCATCTGCAAATTAGTTAGGACGTCGGTTTGTTAGAATAGCCGTAGCTGGATAGCTCTTAGTTCCTCTCCTTTCTTCTTCTTTACGGCTTTGCCGTGCTCTCCTCTGAACTTGTTCACTAGCAACCTGTTGTCTCCCGTGGAGTAGAAATTCTTACCCTTAGTTGACGTATTCCTTGTGACGCTTCCCTGGAATGCATACCGCATCTTGTAAACCATAATTAATTTTTAGATCCATGTGCCTGCCTGCGACTTGTTTTGTTTTCCTTCCTTTGAATATTAAACTTTTCGGAGCAAACTTAGATGTTGTGTTTATTACTGTTGAAACAATGAATGTGTGTCATATGTTTTTAACAGTAGAATACATTTAAGTTTGCCCATTTTCTAACTTTCTGCCCCCATGATATACAGAGACCTTATTGAGGTTATTAAGAACTTCTGCACGTCCTGATGTCATTGCCGCTCAGTGTTCAAACTTGCCGGCAAATTTTTTTTTCAGTTTTCTGTTCGAGATTGTGCTCGCACTTATAAAGTTACCTTTCAGAACTTGCGCAACTCATTTTGATTGACCAATTTTGTGAATCTTGTCAAACGAATCACAATAAACAATAGTTTTAGTCGAATTAACTAACTATTAAATTGATTAAAAGCGAATAAATTTTATTCTAAAAAACGCTTTTGCTAGTTAGATTTGAAAAATCGTTAAGTGTTTCCACCGTCCTTAGACTCTTTGAAAATTTTCCCTTGTATAATGCAAAAGTTGTTAGTCTGACCAGTTATTCTGTAGTCTTTGCATCAAAACATTACCGTAGTTTAGGGTAGTGTAGTTGAATTATACTTCGTGTCTTTGGGACTGATCTGTCGAATTGTGCGCAGACTTGGAGGAGTCGGAAGCGAACGACCTGAAGCAGCGCCTCGACGCTCTCAACCATATCATGGAGCAGGACTTTTCTCCGCCCTCAGCCGCCTTCATGCCATCCGACCTCTCGCAAACTTACCTCATCGACGACGGTCTCAGCAACTCCGCTCCTCTTGTCTGTGAGTCTTCGCTCTTTTCTGTTCGGCTCGCTCCTCGCCTCTAAGGCGTGATGCTTAATAAAACGGTCTCGCATTCTGGATCCTCGTCTGCCGTTTTCTGGTTTAGTCTAAATCCTGAAAGGTGCCTTGCTGTTACATTTAAAACATCGCAATTTGGTTCCTTATTTGATTTGAACAAGTTGGGCAATCAGCCGTAAATAATTTTTTCCGACTTAGCCTTTATTGATAGTCGCTTATTTTCAAGGTTTGGGTACGAAACTCTCTAGTTTAAGTACCTCCTATTACCAAGACTATCGCTGACGTAACGCATTCAGGATAAATACCTAGCCAATATATAATTGACGTTTCCCTCTGTGGTAGCTCGGGTATCAGAAGACAGCGACTACACGAGCGACGTGAACTACCCCGTAGGCCAGCACCCGAACTCTTCAGCCTCGCACTTCTTGTCCACCGTCCATCAGACGTCCACTCCGCAGCTGTCGCTGACGTCCAGTAGAGAGAACTCCTACGAAGACGCCCAGATCGACCAGTCCATTGAGTCGTACAACGAATGCTACAACGATTACGACATGTCGCAGAACAACGATTACGACATGTCACAGCAGGAGCTGTACTACGACGCGGACGACGCTTTCGAAGGCGCCTACAGCGACTATCCCGAGGGGGACTATGAGTACGAGGACTCGGAGACGGTGCTCGATGGTGACGTCATGGAGACGTACGAGGAGGGCGACATGTCCTACAACAGCCGCCCCAACAACCGCAAGGACTACAGGTGATAACTTTTTAAAAGGTTCTTTGACCCTCTTTTGGCCGTTAGGCGTCGGATGGGCGTTTTAAATGTGGATGGGCGTGATGCACTGTTACTAGATTTTGGTGGTGACGTTAAAATTTCTTACTATTATTGTCCTTTAGAGTGAGCTGTGGAGGGTTATTTTTTACTTCAAATTGTACACTAGAAAAAACTTGTAGGAAGAAAAGGCATTGATTACACAAGTATGTTTTTATGGTGATGTTGAATTTGTGTTTTAAGCTCTTGCACTCTTCCACAGATACCCGGTGGAGGACTGGGACAATCCTTACATCAGGTGAGCAGAACCCAACTAATTATATCCTCTATGTGAAATATTTCTTTATGAATGTTGTATAATAACATATAAAAAGCAACAGTTTACGAATCTTCTAGCACGGTTTAATAATCATAATCGTACGCTCGCTGAAAACATTAATGTCCTGCTGACTGCAGCTAACACTTCTCGGATTTTTTTCTCAAGGTCCTGAACAGATTTTTTTGAATAAATTTAATATTTATTTGACATGAAAATTCAAACTCTGTAGTCTGGTCAGAAGAAGTCAAATATTTCAAGACTTTGCATAAGTAATTTGCATAAAATTCCATCGTCTGACACCGCGTCAATTATTTTTATCTTCATCATTATATTAATGAGTATCTCGCTCATCATTTCCTTTGATTTAAAAATTACGAGAAAATATCTGATCAATGTTGTCTTGAATTCAACTCATGCGTGGTAAGTTAGTTATTTTCCTTGTGTTCTCTTTAATATACAAACCTTATATAGTTTCTTGTTTGTATTATACTGTGTGTTGGAGTGGGGTTTTTCTGCTGAGTATTGAAAGAAACTATCAGGGCTTCATGATAATCCCATGTTGGTCATCTCATTAAAGTCAATTACAAATCAATTCATTAACGAGTTAATTATAAATTAATTTCTTTTACTTCGCAGTAAATAATATTCATGATGCATTCTGATACCAAGTGATATTTTCTTGATGTGAAACAAATTTTTCGTCTAGTTTCGTGCCAGTTTTACAGAGTTTCTCTCATTTACTTTCTATTTGTTTTTATGTAGCTAGCGTGGCCTGGGACTGCTACACTTACTAAGGATACTAAGCGGTTGACGCTACACTGTTCGAAAAAACGGTGAAAAAGAAACGTTCTTACCGGCGTTCTAGCAACCCTGTGAAAATAAACTGTTTCGCCGTTTTTTTTAGAGGATACTCGGGATTCTATTGTAAAATTGGAATAAAAACGGCAACAGGGTGTTTGTTTTCACTTGCCGGCCGGTTACTGAAACGCCGGTATATACGTAAATACCGTTTAACGGTGATTTCTCTAACGCAGCGTATCTTTTGTTCAGCCCCAGCGACCAGGTGCCACCCTACAACGACGTGCTTCTGGGCGACGAAGCAGAGGACGACGTCGACGACCTGCCTCTAGAAGACGATTTCGTGGACGACGTCGTGGACGACGTGAGAGACGCGTCGTCTCATGCCAACGGAAGAGGAAAACTTGCTCGTGGTCAGCACTATTGATAATTTGAAATAATATGTACTTATATGACTTGGGATTAACCGTTCACATTACGTTTCTGTAACCCACCTGACAAATTACATTGTAAAAATGAGCTATTTTCGTTGAATCAACATTTGGACTACGTTATTTTTACGTCAGTTGCCTGGTGGCATTTCAACTGTATGCACATCGCTAAGGATGCTTAATACGTTAACAGCCATGCTGCGTTGACCTGTACAAATTTCTAATCTTAATGTACCGAAGTCTGATCGCTCAGGGAGTTCACTTTGTAGAAAAATTCTCTTAAATCCTTAATTATATTGCGATTGCAGGGCTTAAGTCAAAAGTAACATCATGGAGTTGATTCTTTCCTAACACCTGCCTGGTCAAGGTAACGTTGATTTAAGAAGTTTCAATTCATCTTGAACGAGTCATTTGTTATTCATTCTTCCTTAGAAAAGGAAAACAGACCTGCTTTCAGTCGATCACATTCAAATCTCAGTGACCCTAGATCGTCATATATTCTGATATCGATCTTTTGTCACTATTATAGGTTTAGAGAAAATCTGTGTTCTAAACTGGCGCCCAGGTTATGCAAAAGCCAGTAAATTTTTCCTTATTTCTGTGCATTTATTAGAAGGTCCGATTTGGGTCCTTGACACTTGTGCTTTTTATTTAATTGCTTGTACTTGTGTCTCCATATCGGTAATCTCAAATCCTATAGCGAGTATCGTAAGTTGTAGATAGTTGCAGGTTTTGCGATGATTACAAGTTAAAACTGATACTACTTTCTTCGATGATTACTAGCTCGACAAGATCGTATATTATTTGTTTTTAGTCACGTATAACAGCTTGTGTTATTCGAGTTAGAATATTTCTATTGGCTGTGAGTTTAAATTTTGATAGCTATGAGGTCTGTAGGCTGAGAGTATGTCGCTGGTTCCATAGCTAAAGTGTTTAGAGTCATTGCGGCGTGAGTTGGCCGCAATGAAAGTGTTCCCTGCTGAACTTAAATTATTCTGAAGCATCCCTACATAACTTTAGATTTTATGAAGCATCCCTACAAACTTGAATTATTCTGAAGCCAAGGTAACAATGAAATTGTGTGCCTTCCATCCCGATAACTTACCGAGGCTTTTATTAGCTCTCTGTCGTTGAATTCACATAATTCTCCTATCCCGTATACCAGATTGTGATGGAATTAAGTTTATTTAATTTGTTGTCTCTAAGCAGTTCCAGTTCCTTGTTAATGCCATTTCTTGGGCATTTCCTCATTTATGGAAAAAGGCGCTATTGTGCTCGTCATGTCCGTCTGTCCGTGACTTCACATTTTCGTCGACGAGAAAATGCGCTATCTGTCACTCACTGCTGTGAGTACTGAGTTATATTTTTTTATTAGTTCAAACCGACGATCGCCATGCAATCTTTCATAATTTCCTCTTCGCGAATTTTCCAGGTTAACAAATGAATACATCAACACTCAGGTATGCATGCCATATAACAGAATTAATTTTCAAATTATTTTGTAGACACCCCTCGCGGCCGCAGCCTCAGAGTCTGTCAGAGTCTGCATCTGCACGCAGAGTCTGTCAGAGTCTGCATCTGCACGCAGAGTCTGTCAGAGTCTGCATCTGCACGCAGAGTCTATCAGAGTCTGCATCTGCACGCAGAGTCTGCATCTGCACGCAGAGTCTGCATCTGCGCGCAGAGTCTGTCAGAGTCTGCATCTGCACACAGAGTCTGTCATTTGCACGAGTCTTCACGTGCTTTTTGACGTGACCAAGCATTTCTTGGCCTTTAAATTAAGCGTCATCAATTACCGTTTTTTTGTTCATGCTCGACAATTAGTGATATGAGCTAACGGTGCAGCAAGAGAGCATTGTTCGGTTATGAACTAATTGAGAGTTCTACAGCCACGTTGCACTTGGGTGTGCTTGCAACTACTGCTCGTGTTGTGCTCACGTACGTCTCTGTGCACTCTACAAGTACTACTGCGCACACTACTGCGCATACTACTTCGTCTACTGCTATGTTACTTTGTCGACCGCTTCTTCTCTGACTCATGTGATGAGCTGCACAGTGAAGGCATGATGTCACTTGGTCTATTGGGGTTTGTTTCGAAAATCACAACTATCACGCAGAAAAAAGAATGGGTAAAATTATCTAAATAATGGCATTCTGTCTTTCCTAAAACACGAGTATTGATAGTGGTTGTAGCACTGGTTCGACCCTTTGCCGAGCAAACCTTGGACAGGATGAAAGCTCCCCTTTTCACGGAGAAAAATGTCATCGATTCTTGGAACAGTACTTGTGGTTTTACTATTTTTATATAATTTTATATTACTGAAAGAATTACGGTATTTTATCTTGGGAAAGAATTTGACAACGGTGACAACAATTAAATTCTTTCGCTTATTTGTTATATGTGGCGCTCTTTCATTCATCGTTGATGCTCACGATACGCAGATATATTGTAATTCCTAAATAATGTAAGCCGATTATGCGTTTTACTTTTTAAATGTTTTTTCTTCACTTTTAACCTGCTTAATCAAGATTTAAATGTGTTTTGATGGTGTAAGTTCTAGCGCACTCCTTGTGGTATCTAATTCTGTTAAGCTACCCAGTAGAAATTGATCTACGTAATGTTTAATGGCTTACGTTTGTCTTCCTCAAAGCATTCGTGTTTGCCAAAAATCCAAACTTAACTGCTGTAACTTGTAGCTCGTTCATGACTAATAATATGTGTCCTGGATACTTTTACACATCTAAAAGAGATTGACACAAGTTTTGTAGTTTATCCTTAAAAATTAAGGAAATCCTAAATACTCGTATTTACGACTTTTCGGTATTATACTTGATTACGTTAAGCGTTTTGAGTGTCTCAGTCTCGCGATGTAGTCGTTTGTGTGCTTTTTGTGTAGTCCTGAATATTTCAGCGTCAGCTGCGTCGTTTGATGTAATTGCTAATATTTTTGTGCGAGTTTTTGGAAAATAGTGGACAGTTTTGGACGTGCAATTTTGTGGAGATTTCCACGTAGTTAACTTGAAGTTTTTACAGAGATATCATTCAATTTTTATCTAAGTTTGAGATATAACCGTCAAGTATGAATGAGAATCTCAACTCTACAACTTATGAGTGTTTTTTGTTCGTAAGATAAGGAAATGAAATCACTTCTAATTTTTTATCAGTTGATCCCAGACTTTCGGTGTCTACCTTAATTTACATTTTTCTGTTCCGTTTTTCCGAGGACCTAGACTATTTTCCGATTAGATATTGTTTCAGTTTAACGTCCAGTCAAACGTCAACTTATTACTAGAGAAAGCAACTCTATAGTCTTTCATTCAGAATGTGATTGTTAAGCTCGTTTACCCGGTGTTTACAATCAGGCTAAATTTTAGCTCATAAATTGAGTGGACATAAAACAAACCTTGTATTTTTGCTAACTACTACCAGCTGAGACGTATTCACTGATTCAGCATTAAATGAGTGCATTAAGAAAATGGGTGAAAATTATTATTTTCATTTATTATCACTATTATTATATTATTCCGATTATTATTACTCATCATTAGTAAGCTGGTTGACGAAACTCATATTGCAGAGACGCCAAGGTCACCATGAACGGTGAGGTGCTCAAGGCTGACACCGGCGATACCTTCGACTTCGGTGGCGTCGAACACTCGTACGGCGAGTACAACGATGAGGGATACCAGAACGACAAGCATCATGATGAGTACCATAGACAGCAAGGTGACTACGAGCAACAAGACGACTACGAGCAGCAAGGTGACTACGACCAGCAGGATGATTACAAACAGCAAGGTGATTACAAACAGCAAGGTGACTACGAGCACCAGGATGATTACAAACAGCAAGGTGATTACAAACAGCAAGACGATTACAAGCAGCAAGAAAACTACGATCAATATTATAATTACGATTACCAGTCTGAAAAGTACAATGAAACGAACCAAGAAGATTATGAAGGCTGGTATGATGATTGCGAAAAAAATTTCGGATACTATGACGAAGCCGGGAACTATATTTACTACGAAGATGCTAGCTACCAGTACAGCAGTGAAGAATTGAGTGCTGCTGGCGACGGTGCTGGCAAAGATGCGTACGAGGCAACTCCTCTCATCACGTCCATCGTCACAACAACAAAATCAACTGTGACGACCACAACTGCGGCTTCCTCCGCAGCTACTTCAGCAACCGCTGCAGCTTCAAAACTCCTGAGTTTCGGCAGCCAAGTGACGTCGTCTTTCAAAGCCCCCCAGTTAACGTCACAGGCCAAGCCAGAGAGTGGGACCACTGCTGCCGGACTCTTCAACAAACTATCAACTTCGCAAATGATCCCCAAACTCGGCGCAAAAGTGAGCACAGCTTCGTCGACGTCAGGTTCTCAGCAGTCCAACAAGTTCTTCTCTGGTCTTCCTTCCATTGCCAAACCGAACCTGTCGACGACCTTCCCGAAGCCTTCCATTTTCTCGAGCCAACCGAAAACACCACAGCAGCTGCAAGAAGAACAGGAGAAGAAAGCCGAGCAGGAAAGAGTTCAGCGCGAGAAAAAGATGCTCGAAGAGCAGAAAGCGCTTGAGAAAAAACGCAGGGAGGAAGAAGAAAAGCAGCTAAAGTTGCAGCAGGAGCAAATGAAACGAGAAGAGAAATTATTACAAGAGCAGCAAAAGAAAGAGCAGCAGCTGATAGAACAACGTCAGCGTGAATTGGAGCAGCAGCAGAAGCAGCAGCAGATGGAGCTCGACGCGCAGTACAACGTTCAGTACCAAGGACAGCCGACGTGGCCAGAAGGATATTTCCTGGACGAACACGGCTACATGTACGACGAGTACGGCAACCCTCTGACCGAAGAGCAGCAGTACGCTGTCATGCAGCAGGCTCAGCAGACGCTTGCGTTCTCCGAGGAGGAGGAGGAAAAATACCTCAGAGAACAGGAGGAATTGTTGCGGCGACAGCAGCAAGAGCTCGAAGCGGCAGCCTCGATGTCGTCTGAACTGGAATCCAAACTCGGTTCTGACGTTGCCCAACAGCAACATCAGCAGGAGAAAGAGCGGCTAGAAGAGCAACATGCTCAGGAACAGTTTCAGTTGCAACAGCAACAATCGCAAGAGCAGCAGTTGGAACAACAACAGCAGTTGCAGTTGCATCTGCATCAACAACAGCAACAGCATCAGCAGGAGTTGGAACAGCAGCAGAAAGCAGCACAAGCTGCTGCCTCCAAAGCCCAGCCCACCAGAAGCAGCTTTGGCCTCTTCGGCGGAGGCAGCGGCAAGCCCGGTAAAAGCGGCGGCCTCTTCGGTGGCTTGTCGGGCCTGACGTCTAAAGTGAGTGACACTCTGAACACGGCAGTGAAGGAAGTATCAGCTGTCGCTGCCCAGACCGCCTCCGCTGCTGCCCAGCAGGCAAACAAAACTGCCGCTGGCAAGGCAAGCGCTGCTGGGCAACTGGGCAAGCCTGCTGGGGCTGTGCCCTCTAAAGATGCTGCCCCTGTTGTGGCTGAAGCCCCTGTTGGAAACTCAACCGGGGCTCGCCTGCAGCTCAAGAAGCAGGAGAGCGTAAGCAGCGAACATATGCCCTCTGATGAGTCTGAGGGTCGTGCTGCCCTTACCAGCGCCCCTCTCATCCACGGCTCTGAGTCTGCTGATCAGGTGAGTCATAACGAAGGCTTATCTTTTGAATTTTTTTTTCAGTTATGGATTTTATTCTAAGGGAGGATTTTTCTTAATTTTAAATCCAGCTGATGGTAAAGGTTAACAGGAGCGGGATTTTAGTTCGTTTGTAATTTTGTTCGTGCTTTTTTCTTTGATATGTTGATGGTTGTTGCAAAGCCGTAGTTTATTGAAGTGAGACCATAATTCAAACAATAGTTTTTTGTTGTGTTTGCTTTACAAGGGAATTCGAAGAGTTACTTAACATGTGCATTGGAAGATGTCTTGTAGGAAACATTTAAACGTGTGCATCACGTGGTTAGGTTGCAGGCTTTGATTCATTGACAGTTTTTGGTTTCAAGTGTCTTTGAAATTTTGGTGTCAGTAGAGTTAATCGATAACTAAAGCACGGTAGGAGTACTAGATGCAGTGATATTATTGAAGAACAATTCAGTTATTGATTTAAAGTGACAGGTAAGCAGTCATTCTGGTTCAGGCGCTTCTTCGATGCGGCAGTGAGAATCTCGCGTTCGTAGCTACCCAAATATTCTTAATTGTAGCGTTATAATACATTTCATAATTAGAGAAAAATTCAAATTTTAACCTAATTTATTGATTATTATGATATTGAATGAAAGGCAAATTTTGAGAAACTAATTTGGATGGCAGTCTCATTAATCGCTTATACTGCCAATAAAAAAAGATGACACTTATTTAAAAATAGAAGCTTGATTTATCGCCTAAAAAGTAAAACAAGGAAGAGTGACGCTTATCAAAGAAATTTATTAAGATTTAAGTCGTTTTCTATAATAAAAATTTATATTTATTGCAAATAAGTTTTGGTAAAAAGAATGCCATTTCTATTTAAGTTTTTTAGAGTTTTGTTTCTATAGTTGTCTATACTAGATACAATAATAGGGTCAACAAGTCGTAGAATTTGTCCTAGTGAAAGGTTTGCAAAATCTGGTGACGCGTTACGGTATGAATAATCAAGCTGAAGATGATTATCTACGGTTTAAATAATCATCTACAGGACATAAATAATCATCTTCTGGGTATAAATAATCTAGCAGTTGAGTAAACGAGGTGCTCATAGGATGGCTGCAGGTACATGTCTAATTGAAGAAGTGAAAGAAATAAGAGTGTACTTCATTCTGTGCTTGTACTTGTATGATGTGTACTTCTACTTCAGTACTTGTACAGTCCATTGGACTGTTGCAATAGGCGAGTGAAGTTTCAGAGCGCGTTGAGATTCGGTTGATTGGTTGTTAAGGTTTGGATTTTTTATTGATTTTGATTTAATTGAAAGGAAATAGATATACGACTTATTGCAAGTAGTGGCACTAAATTCAGTTATTTCATTGCAGTCGCTGCGGCTGCAGGGAAGCTACGATACGGCGACGGGGGGCGACCGCACCCCTGGACACCCCGAGAGCTTCGAGACAGCGCCCGAGACGTCGGTCTTCGGGGACTCGGGCGATAAGCAGAAACCTGAGTTTTATCAGGACCTTTATTATGATGCGGAGGGTAGACGTTATGATCAGAGCGTGAGTAGCGCGTATATCTTAATTTTAATATTGCTGTTCTGGAGGAACATTGTGACTTTTGTTAACACTCGTTTGCTCTTCACTCTTGCGCACGCGCGGATTGGCGTTGTGTTTTACCCTTTCATTTCCACGTGCATTGTTCTGATAATGCCCTATAGTGCATATAGCGTCTATGGCCAGCCATGGACGTAGTGAAGACATACCCTATATAGTGCATATATCGTCTATGGCCAGCTGTAAACGTAGTGATAAGGGATGATGTTTATTTCTTCTCAGCCCCTAGGTATGATTTCACCAGCATTCGCAGCCTTGTTCCGAATTTACCTTCCAGATTTATAAGCATGTTGAGACCTATTCATCGTTGTGCCACAACGGTCACACTCACCTCGGACTCTTCAATTTTAGACGTTTATTCTGATTGACACTTCACATTATTAATCCCCTGTGACGTAATCACGACGAAAAGTATGTCGGCTCGGGACTGTGAACGATGATGAGCTAGTGACACAAACCCTACCAAATTAAAAACAATTTTAAGGTACAGTCGCCAAGTAGAGACATGGAAAATTGCTTTAGTGTTTTAAGATAAAATTCGTAATTTTAGTATTTTTTAAGTTGGCCTATTAATGAGTTTGCAATTGTTCCTCTGCCATTCTGACCCACACCCGCTAGTTTAACCTTTGTTCTATTAACCATTAGATAAATTTGTACAAAGTCACAATATATTAATTAGGCAGAGCGTATTAGTATGGACGAAATGGAGAGCTCATTCATGGAAAATATATTTCTATGTCAGGCGACGAGGTCACCTTATGCAGTGACCCGGGTGAATAAAGTCATGTTTATAACAAGCGTTACTTATAACTATTGCCATTCTCCTGATAACTAATTCGTCACTAAAATGCTACTGGAGCTGGCACAGATATAACTTAATGGATATATCTTTTAGTTTTCTTCGTTTGATTATTAATTGTAAAACAAATCACGCGTATCAGCTACTGTCCTACTTATTACTTTTCAAAAAAATTCAGTCCACGTAATCTATATTTTAGCAAATTCATAATTTGTACATTGGAAAATCGATATCCAACAATATGTAGTCGAGAAGAAAAAACCTTTGCAGTCAATAATTTACTTATGACATTGCCCAGCAAAATGATTGAGTGTATTATTTGAAACTAGAAGTTAAGCGTATTTTTGTACAGGAAGGAATGTAACACCTGAATATTTCCCCATTCCTCACGTGCATTCTTTGCGTGGTATAAATATCGACTGTACAGTTCCGTGACTGACGTATTTTGCTTGGAGGTAAAAGCTGCCATAGCTTTAATTTTTTCCACATTAAACAGATAACGTATATGCTTTTTGCCTGCACATTTTCACGACATTAGCCACTTGTTCAATGCCTTGCGCCCTTGCATTATTACGAGACGCTCTCAACTCATCCGCCGCGTCGCCGAACCACATTTCCTTTTTTGGAAACTTTCAGAGGAATCGGTGAATTAATGAATTAATAGTATTTGTTGTATCGTTATAGCGCTGTGCTACCAGAGAATTTAGCCGTTTCGAACATTAATCTTTCCATATATCGATTCTCTGTAATTCCCAGTTTACGAAGCCAAATTTTCGTCAAATCATCGTATCTTAAAGGGAAGCTTTCGCATTGAATCTAGGGTCACGCGTGAATATTGAATATTACGCGTGAAATGTGGTGTCGGTGTAGCGGCTGGATGGGTAGTTTAATAGATGCAATCGTTAGCTCTGGCTGGTCTCTACCTACACGCTGGTAGGTTCTTACCTGTGATGATGGATTACCTGAGCGTTAGTGTCTTGCCTCAAAGGAGTCCTTCTACGGCGACTTCTACTCAGACCCTCGCTTCTATAACCACTTCTTGGGTCTAGAGCGGCTGGACGAAGACGATGGATCATCAAGTATCCACGATACCGAGCACGGCTTCTCTAGAGTCCCGTCACAGGTGAGGAGGAAGAGAACGATCGTTTGTCGGACCACCTCCTCTCTGCCTGTCCCTCACGCCCTCCGTATTTCTAATTCCCTCCGTCTCTCTTCCTCCATCCGTGCCTATTCTTACGTTCGTGCCTCTTTATACGTCCGTGTCTCTTATAATCGTCCATCCTCCGTGTTCCTTGTAACCGTTAATCATGACTTTTCCTGCTTTCAATGGTGCCTACTTCCGTGGCTTTTCCCCATTCTGCCACCGCTAAATGTTATTGTGAAATAAAGTTCCTGAACCTAATTGAAATAGGACTCCAAAGACAACTGCCAATTTATTATGAACGTCAAATTAAATTGTTACGATATTTTTGGACTAGCAACTCGCATGGCGTACTGAGAATCTCAGTCAATGACCGTTGCTGTGCAAAGACGTCGCTAGATACAAATGCTACATTTGATAGACTCGCATCATCCGAGGTGTTCAGTGACAAGTTTAATTCGGTTTATTGTTGTTTGAGGACGAAAAATTGTCCACGCAAAGTGAAGATGAGGTTATGTTCCGCCACCAAACATTTTTATCTTTGGTTGTTGAGAGAAATGAAAAAAAAACAAGATGAGACGAATCCATGTAAAAAATTTGGTTTATTATGAAAATTTGGTCGTGGGTTGGTGTTAGTATGCAGAGTTATACAAAGTTAGAACGATCTTAACTCGTACAATCAGTTATGAGCTGCATGAGGGCGGCCTTTGGGTGGCGGATGAATGCCTCTACGCTTGACCACCTTTAATGAGAAAGATGTCAAGAGTCTGCCTCTTGCGTCTTAACTATAGTGTCCTGAACTCTCAATGTTATTTTATATGATTTCCATAGTTTGTCGCCAATTCACCATCTTCGGAGGTAAGATGCTTACTGTCTCGCTCTTGCTTTTCTCCACTGCTTTACAAATTTCTTATCATACAAGATAGGACGTAATTCATCCTATCCTTGGTAGAAATAGAATTAACTTAGTTGAAGCAGGTGCCATGAAAGGACAGGTGTGCCTGTTGTCTAACTATTTTGATAACAATTATATTGAATCGAATTAACTCGCATTATTCTTTTAATTATCCGAGCTCTCGATATTGTCCTCAGCATCTCCTTTCAATCTCATTAGTTTCAAGTGTGATATGGACATTTTTTTCGTTTTGTCTTCCGACTTGTTGTGCATTCATTTAATTTGGCTCCTTTGGTAAAGTAGGGAAGGACAGATGTGCGTAGAGCTCGGTGTTTCTGCTCATATCAACGCTCAACTTTTAATCTAGGATCGCTCGTCTTGCCCACTAAATTCTAGTAACTCGATATGGTTGGGTGTTTCTATTTCATGCTTTATGCTATTATAATTATATGCTCAGTCAGCCAGAGTCGTGCGGGCTTGCTGCTGTAATGTTATTTTTCTCTAACCCTAGCAGATCATTTTGAAATTACAGCGTCTCGAAATTATTTATTTTGTTTACCTAATTTTTAGATGTACAAGTACCTATGACTGAACGGCCAAATAGTGACTAACTGACATTTCTTCTTGTGTTTTATATTTTTAAAATTAGGCGAATCTAAGTTTTATCTATCCAAGTTTCTTTGGACATCCCGCTGAAGCGAGAATAATATAAGAGCTTATTTCTTTTCTTGCGATCAAACTCGAAGAACTGCACATGATTTTATAAGTACGTGTTATCTCTTCACGTGAAACTAGAAATTTACCAGAAATTTTTATCTAAATGAACTAAAATTTAATCTGAACATCAGTGAAAGATTTCGCGTAAGTACATCGTTACTGATACCGATGATTTCCGCTCACAGGGTATATGTCGTAGGGCGCATAAAAGGTATATATTTTCTATTAATGTGCAGCTAGCTTAATATATACTATTGACCCCTGGGTATCTTACAGGTTATATGTCTTAGGGCGCGTATAAGGTATATATTTTCTAGTAATGTGTAGCAAGCGTAATATATACTATCGAACTATAGGTATCTTACAGGGTATATGTCGTAGGGCGCGTATAAGGTATATATTTTCTATTAATGTGTAGCAAGCATAATATATGCTATTGAACTATAGTTATCCCTGTGATTTAAGAGATTGCTGACTGTGCAGTCGTCCGAGGAACATCCGTACCGCCTGCCCGACGGCACGTACGGTCCTGAGTACGACAGCGGCAGCGAGGGTAGGGAGGCCATCAACTCTCGCATCGAGCCTTACCCTGGTGACCTGACCAAGGTGAGGGTACGCGGGGGCATCGGGTCAGAGGGTACGCTGGTGCACCTGGTCAGAGGGTACGCTGGGGCATCGGGTCACTACCCGATGGGTCAGAGTATCGGGTCAGAGGGTACGCTGGGGCATCGGGTAGTGTATCAGAGGGTACGTCGGGGTATCGGATAGAGTACCAAGGTGAGGGTACGCCGGGCATCGGATAGAGTACTAAGTAATGTGAGGGGTGACGGCAGCATCGGGTAGAGTACCTCACGGTCCTGTCAGGGATCTGGATATCCTTTGTACCTAGCAAATCTAGGAATTCACCATGTATAGTTCTGAAGCTTGTTATCCTCTCAGTACAGTGCCCAGTGCTGTCCAGTTCTGAACTGCTTTTGGTAATCCTTACTAATTTTGGGCGTCTCAGTTCTGTAAGCGGTGATCATGTTTGCTTTGTGTCCAGTTTTCTACCTGGTTTTGTACTGCAGTTTTTTGCTACTTCAGTTTTGGTTGGCACATTCATGATTAAGATTTATTGGCTTAAGTTTTATCTAGAAAAGACTGGATAGAAATGAGCACTATTTATAGGCAATGCCTATCCCTTAATATACGTATATGACCACAATGGAAGAAAATTAACTGCTCCACAATGATACGAAGTGGTAGTGAGTAACTGAGACCAGCATAGAGTAATATTACATCATCACGCACATATTCCAGTGTTTTCACAATCAACATTCAATGCCAGTTTTAATCTATTGGTAAAATGGTGTGGTTTTAATACAATCAAGTGCTTACTGTCTTAATATATCGAAATAAATAAATAGTTCGACGTCAACATGGGGTGATAATTCAATAGATCTTTTTCAGTTCAGGGCATACGAAGGGGAGATCCAATGGGAGTTCGGAGGGATTGCAGAGGGCATTAAATGAGCGTTCGTTTGGGGTTAAGCGAGAGCAATCTTGTGGTGATCGGTAATTTCTAATATGGAATGTAGTCTAGTTTGACTTTGACTACGGCTAATGTTAGATATGGTGATTGGAGATCCACCGACAAGCACAACAATGCATTAGAGGTAAGTATTAAACCCCTTAACTCCTCGCAGATAAACTCGCCGGCAATGTTACCACAGTCGTAATGTCGCTCATACAACGCTCGATTTTTTTTTTGTTTTAGCCCATGCATATTATGCGACAAATTACTTGTTCTCGTCTATTTTCTCCAGCAATTCATCCATCAATTGATTCACAAAATTATAAATATTCCTGCAGTAAGAAGTGAAAGGGTTTTTGCAAGGTTTTCTTTGTTAATGCTGCACACAGCAGCGTAGAATATATGAAATTATTCATGCACAAGTAAGCTACTGAAGCGATGAAGTGTTGTACATACGTACACCTTTTTGATTGTGGAATAACAATTTGGATTAGAGTTTAAAGGTTTCATTATTTAAGTGTTCAACGTGACAGCGAGCAAAATCCAGAGCAATTAAAAAAAGTCAAGACCTTTAGATGCTTGAATTCAATCAGAATCACTCTAAGATTTATCAAAGAACGGCGGCCTGTCTGGTTCTCTTCCGATTGTTGACGCCTCTCAGGGCTTCCCTTTTCCAAAAAGTCGTTTAGCTCTTCCGAAGTCTTCAGCCAACTTTTACATATTGTTACTCCCACGCGTCTTGCACGATATCGGCGCTTTTCCAGCGGTCCCTATGATAGACCATTGTTTTCATACTGTATATATTTGTTATATTATGGAATACATGTAATTCCCGACTTGCCTTCATGTAAATCAAAAGAAGAGCCTGAAGTTTTAACAAATCCGAAATCTTGTTAGCCACACAATGTTATTAAGTCGTCAAAAACAGTCGGTACTGTGTCGAGTTTCGAAACTGACCCCTCTTAAGCGTCATTCGATCTAATGCATTTGAATGTACAAAATTGTACAAAGCGAAATCCACAGCACATATACTGAGCACAAGTTACAGTTGGTGAGACGGTAGTACTTCTTCACTCTGAAATTTTAATTTCACCTAGTAACCCCTCCCTCCCCTGAAGTCCCTGACACCACCTAGAAACCCCTCCCTTCCCTGAAAATTCTAACACCACCCAGTAACCCGTCCCTCCCCTTGGAGACCCTGGCACCACTCAGTTCCCCATTATTCCCTGAAGACTTTGGCACCACCCAGCTCCCCATTCCTCCCCTGAAGTCACCCTATGAGTATGCATCCATAACCTAGTGCAGACTGGCTTCACGGACATCGTGCTAGCGCCGCACTGTCTTGGTAAAGGAGCTGGTGGTAGTTCAGCCCTGCTTACATCTTAGTGCTGTACAATGTACATCTCTTGAGCACATCGGTCATGGTTTACTATCCTCGAGTTAGCACTCTCTCTATCATTGTCAATGTCCTATTAGTAACTTCAGGTTGATAAGCACACCTATGTCACTATGCCTACTATTTCTATATACAAATGCTAGACCCATCTTACTAATGATCCACTATTAGCACTGCTACTTTATGAGTACTACTTACTCCTATTGAATACTTATTATTCCATCGTTTATTTTATTACTACTATTATATTAGTGAGCTTGTCACCGTTCTACCCCTACTATTCACCTGTTCATTGTTTGGTTCTCAGATAATAGATTTCAAGATGCCGGTGCGCGTCGACTTGAGTCAGGCAAGCGAACCAAAGGTGACTGAGTCATTGTAATGCATGGTCACCGCTGACCCTTTTTCATATCCGCTGCTAATCCCAATAATGCTTATGCTCTTTACTCTAATGTCGTGGAAATAATATAAACTCAAGCTTCATTTCAGTTCCCACAAACCTTGATCTAATATATTGTTCGTTATCGTTGAAACCTGCTTTAGACGCAGCTTCCTGCTCTAAGAAGTTGTTGAAACATCCGAGACAGCGAGAGATGATTATTGAATAGAGTAATGTCCAGGCCTAATACAGTGTATGAACTTTTCTAGTCTTAGATGAACAATCGCATGCTCCCTAGATTACAGCATGTAAATTCTAAACCATCGTATCAAAATAGAGCGCACCCTGCCGACCGGCATGGTAAGTTCTCATTTGTTTTGCAATGCCGTGCTCAGGCGAGGCTCCCGCGAGTATATCGTGTCTTGTATTCCGTCACATGTCAGGAGTGTCATTCATCTAACACAGCAAGATATCAAACTCTAGGAATAAAAAATCTTTCCATAATGTATAATAATTACGATTCTATTAAAGGGAAATCCTGTTAGTTCTGATGCCGATTTCTTATCAACTATCGAAATTTTGATATCTTGGCGTGACAGATAATTTGATCACGAAAGTCCCCCTTTCTCTCTATGCAAGGTTGTTTACTGATGAGTGCTCAGGGTGCGGGTGGAGTCTGTCTCAGTTCTGACCCTTGGAATGAAGATTTGTGGGCTTGATCCTGAACTGGAGGACAGAAGCCCGTTCTTGAATACATTAGTAACGCAACTGCAGAATGCATCAACTTGTACAGTAGTGTTTTGGGGTTGAGTTCCTTACATTTTTTATACTTAAATATCAACCAGGTGCAAGGTTTTGTGCTTGGCTAATAAATTTATGAGATGTTAGATGTTTGATCATATAATTAATAACAGCGCTGCTATAGTATCATATTGTATATACTGTTATTTTCATTGCTGTACAAGTTGATGAAGAGAAAGAGGAAGTCTTTGCTTATAGTGGCCGTTTTCTTCAGCCTATCGAAGTATGAATGGAAGAGTCGTGCGTGTCTCATCGTTGTAGCTTCAGGGTACGCACACAGTGAAAGCAGGTTGCCAGCGTGCTGGTTACCTGCTCAGGCTGGCGCCTGAAACCATAGAATACAGAAGCCTATTCGTACAGGTTTTCACTGTGAACACTTACATTATTATCCTATGTTCATTCTTGTGGCAGGTTGGAGCAGGTTGCCCGCGCGAGCAAACCTGCTTTCACTGTGTGCGTACCCTCAGCCACTAAACCAAAACATCACGACCGACTCCATTTCTTGATCGATCGCCTGTATGTAAAAGGCCTACAAATGTCTCGAGTCGCACTGTGTCTCGTCTACGAATGTCTCGAGCCTCACTATGTCTCGTCTACGAATGTCTCGGAGTCTCACTGTGTCTCGTGAGCTTCTTCACTGTGTTCCGTGTGGAAAGCGTGTGTGGTGTCTTAAACCTGCCGTGTGTTGTTACCACAGTGCGGTCCAGTTGATGTGATGTGTGCGGTCAAACTCAACCTTCAACCTAGATCCTGCTTCCGATTTCTTTTTTTGTTAGCTGTTAAAGGAAGCTTCTTTTTACGCGTCACTAAACGATGACGTGGTCTATCAAGTTATAGACTGCATGCTCTTCATTAAATAATGATTGACTTATAACTAATATTGTACATTTTTTGTAATCTTTTTGAAGCGTTTTTTGTCTACTTTCAACTGCGATGTGAAACTACGTCAAGGCGTAGGTGAATTTATCTATACTTGATGTGAAAAATGTTTCCTTGTTTTTTTTTTTTTGAAATGTTGAAATTTTATCTCAATATTATTCTCTATAAAATGTTGAATATACAATGGTAGCTTTAACCGATTATCTTCACTTAGCCGCCGCTGGACCCCGCCGTTAGAGATGCCAAACGCTTGACTTTTGAGGCGAAACTTAAGCTTATAGGCACGCAGACGAGGCTGCCGACGCAAGCCCAGGTGATCTCTAAATTATTTAAGACAAAAGCGCGTTTCATGTGCAAACAAAACTCCATGAAATTGCCGTTATTCAAGGTATTGATTCTCGTGACTCGTATAACTAGTCTGAATTAATGCATATTACTGAACGTGTACCAGTTTCGAAATGTTAGAAGTTAGTCTAAATGTAACTTTGCAGCTTTAAGTAAGATTGTACAACATTTGAATGAATTTATGTGTGTTGTTGCCAACAAGGCGGATGATGCGCTAAAAAGCGAGACCCCGTCCGATGGAATAGCGCGGGAGGAAGGTTCGTCGACTGCCGATGCTGCGGCTGCTGGAGGCTCGGTATATATTTTATGCATTTAATCTTTGCAAGCATCGTGCTGCCTTTCCATATTTGCCATAGTTAGCCCCACAAAATGCTAGGCCGCTAGTGTGCAGCGGCAGACATGCACTTCGTTTGTTATTCCTTTAGATTTATCGCAGAGGAAGTGGCTAAATAGTTTGTGTGTTCAACAGTGTTTGAAGTCGCTCCCCCAATGATACAAAGATGTTATTTTCCCTTTTATCTGGCATAAAATTTTGGCGTTTTTTGCGCAGCCATGAAATCCCTTCCCCCTCCATTCCCCAGCTCCGCCCAGCCTAAATTAAAGGCTCGTTATTGTTTGACTTTTTTCTGGGGTTAAAAAAGCTGCTTCCTTCACTGCTGTTCTCAAATGATTTTGGAATTTTGGCCATCATTGATCGCTTTATGGCAGTAGATCGTCTTTTTCTGCTGTTTACGTTCACCATGCCCGAGCAGGAATGACGCTGTTAGCTGCAAATCCGTTTTTTTCGGGAAGGCTATTTTTCAACTTCATTATTTGAGCCCAGTTAATGGTCTTAAAGTTCCGCATGATTTATCATCTGAAACTTCTAAAATTTGAATGGCAATAATACTCCCGCCAGCTGTTTGATTGATGTTCTGATGATTATGCATTTCAATATATTTCGCAGACTTAATTGGATATTTTCTCTCCGCATGCTTGTCTATCCCCCATATCCTATCCACGTTCAAAATGTGTGCTCAAATTTGTTAAAAATCATGTGGCTCAAATTTTACTGATGTTTTGTTAGGATACGGGTATTACGAATGATTTCATGAACTTATTTCTTTGTTGGTATGTAATCCCTTCTGAGCAGTGTTCGTATACGCGCAAAATTTGGGTGACGCTTAGGCCTGTGCCATGGAGTCTACCCTCGTGATGGAGTTATTCTGGGTCTGCTGCTAATCCTAATAATGTGCTGCGGCAGAGTAGTCCTAAGAGTATGAGAGTAGTCCTTTTAGCGTCCTAGGAGTATGAGAATGATTGGCCGAAACCGAGTGAAACCGAGCTTGTTGGTTGTCTAGAGGGTGCACTTCAAGTTCGGCCGAAGCGGAAAAAAAAACCTCTGATCATAATGTCCCCCGAGTCCCAGGTGGTACCTATAACAGAGTCCGAATAATGACGAATAACTGAGCAAATCTGTCATAAGCGATGAAAAACTAAAATGAGGCGCACATTGAAGTGCTTCGGCTGACGTCTGGAACTGTATGGTCCCGTCAACCTCGACAACTGCTATTTCTTCCAAGCTTGTGGAGACTTTTTTTTAAGCAGCACCCTGGCTCTTCAACCTGGACGAATCTTCTATACAAAGTATTCGTGCTTCGCTGGGGACAACAGAAACTCGCGAGTTTTATACCAATCCAGGGTGATCAGAAACATTTACTTGTTAAAATCACGCGTTGAGTTCTGTTGAAAACAGTTTCATATTACGTTAAATATTACAGCTCAGTTAGCCGAAATTTATTTTGTTTTATCTCCTGTATTGTTATACTTTCAGTCGATTGTTCCCGTCAGCTACCTATATATCAATTACAGTGTAGATCACGCATTCTCCATGTAGTACTTTTGAAATGTTAGCAATCAGTGTGTACATATCAGTGATTGACCAGAAGGAGCTTAGGACACTGGTTTGACTTAGGACTCAGCCGAGAAGGATTGGCTCGCCTCCCGCCACAACTGCTTGGACCGCCGCTAGGAACCTTTGGAAAAAGCAAGAAGTGGCGCGAAGTGGCCTGGGCCCATATATAAAAAAAGTTAAGAGATCGTAAGTTCATCAACCAATCATTGACGGCCTTTCAAGCAAATCCACCAATCATAGACAAGAAAATAGAGCGTGAGTACTTAGGTTCACATGCGAATTTTGAAAGTATGGCCCCAGGTAGGGGAAAAAGATCTGGAAAAACGACTCAACGCCGGCAAGCCGAGGTGACTTAAGCTAGTACCGCATGCCAAACTTGTCGAGACTTACATTTGGGAGCGTCACTGCTGTCCTGCGGACCTGAATTATAATCTCTCTGTCTATGAACTACAATGAAATTTATTATTGTTATTCGTCCTTTAAGGCCTAGTAAAGAGTTACCACTTATGGCCAAATACGTTGCGCGTGCTTCGTTATTTCTACATCCAGTTAAAATTGCTCCCATTGGGTACTCCTATAAACGTGATTTATACTATGAGCTATCTATGTGAACTGTTCCTCTACAAATTACATTGGAGATCATGAACGTAAATTAATCTGCTCGTCTGTGCTTACTTGCCTGGAACTCGGAACAGGTTCTTGAACTTTGTTGTCAGCCACGAACGCTACACGGAGATCCATGTTAAAAGTTCAGATTTGATGAAGATTGCCATATTCGGATGATATTGAAAAGTTTTAAGATACCAAAGAATTAGATCACATTCAATGTTTTCCATATTGTGGTCATCGTTATTTCTGTTTAATTTTACTTCCAACATAGTGAACACTCGATTTTTCGTCATTTGTGCTCAATTATTGTTTATTTTTTTGCGTTTGAATGGAATACAGTTTTGATAACCAATTTAGGAAACTATATAACTCAAACCTCTGATAATTACGAATAATTATTTATTATAATATTACTTTATAATTATTTATTTTTATTATTAGAAACACTTTTGTTGGTTTCCGTCACGAAAAAAACGGGAGAAGTTGGCAATATAGTGCCACCAATTACCAATGTACGAAAGTTTGTGTTGAGAACTCGTTTCAAAACATGGATAACTTAAACTATGATAAATTCATTCGAATGCGTCGTGTTCTCACAAATGACTCTAACGAACTTGAAAGTATTCATCAAAAATGTGTCGTCCGTTTAGTTCCCGAGTCAATAATCACGCCACATACACAGATGGGTGGCTATCATGTCCAAAGCTCAATAATGTATAATATCGCTATTTTTTTGTAGTTTTAGAAATAAGATTTGTTCATGTTCATTAATTAGCACGACTATACCACTGAAAAATGTTCAAATTATTTGAATAACATAGGGAAAGATCTCTNAGAAATAAGATTTGTTCATGTTCATTAATTAGCACGACTATACCACTGAAAAATGTTCAAATTATTTGAATAACATAGGAAAAGATCTCTTGTTCATAAATAATTTTAGATTGTATAAGGGTGCGTTTAATTTTTGGAACAATTTGTTAAGATTTAGTGATTTGTAAGTATTATAAATAAATCTGTCATGATAAATTCTGAAGCTAAACATTTATTTTAATTGTGAATACAAGTTTTTACTAGTGTTGATATCTGAATTGTTTCATAGTTTTAAGCATGCACTCACATAGTGTGTATATTTAGCAAATAGAAGAAGAATTTTAGAAATTGAGCTAAAATAGAATTTAGCTCAGAATAAAATAGAATTTTAGCTCATGAGTAGAATGGTTTCTAGATGCCCCGAATCTTAATCGCCACTTCAGAAAATAGTTTATTTTGTTTATAATAAAACTTGTTACAGGATTTCCTATTGACGCCTACTCATTAGGTTGTATATATATATAAATATATGCCATTTTTGATACATATAGTTTAAAAGTACATGTAGGTGATTCTTAGTTTCGAGTAGAATTCTTCATAAGGATGAATGTACCTCTGAAAATCATGCTTATTAAAACCCGTTAAACTTGAATAACTACTGCCGAGTTAAGTTGATTCTAATCAGATAGTGTATAATTAGTCATTAGGCCTGCAGAGCTGACTTTGTCCTTTTTGCCTCCTATGTTCTCTAATGTTTGCTTTCCTCTCTTAAACTTCCACTGCCTAATATTTCAGCTTTCAAACCTTCTGCTTAGTATTTTTGTCATTATTCTATTATTTCTCCTTTCCGATCATTGGTTCCGTACTCTAAAACTTCCTTCACATGCACTCGCTTCTTGGCATCTCTTGTGCATTCGTCACTACGTATGACGTGACGTGTGCATTTGTCACTGCTTCACGTATGCATTTGTCACTGCTTCACGAATGCATTCGTCACTGCTTCGTGAGTGGCGTGTACTTTGTCACTGCTTCACGAATGCATTCGTCACTGCTTCGTGAGTGGCGTGTACTTTGTCACTGCTTCACGAATGCATTCGTCACTGTTTCCTAGGTGACGCACCCTAGATCACACCCGCTTATATCCAGTCTCATGGTCCGAGTGCACTGCTTCTTACCATGCAGTGATATTATGGTGAACGCTTTCTCTCGTATAATGTATATTAAGGAGTCTTAGTATATGTAGAAAATTAGGAAAAAATTTGGAGTTTAAGGTTTTTGTTTAGCTATAGAGGAAGTTTCCTAGTTTTCGAAGTGAGGTTTGTATCCATCGTTCGCTGTTAGTCATTACAATCATTATGCAACGTTAATCAAATGTCTTGTTATTATTTATAACATAGCTAAACGTTGTAAAATTGCGACTGTAAATCCTCTTCAGAGTTTGTCGTTGTGTTGGTTTCCACTTACGGCGGAAGGCCAGAGACATTTATACTTCAATGCGTTTTATTATTTTGACTCATACACAATTCCGCCAGACTTGTTGAAATTTTTTACTTGTTACATCCAGAATCCAAGTATTTCATTTCCTTATTTTATTTGCCAACTCTTGTATTGCCTTCTTCATAAGTCGATCATCGGGATTCCTAGCGTCATTGTCTAGGACTCTGTAAGTCACAATGCACCACATGGATTCCGAGTCGCGGCTCATTTGCATTGTCAACATGTGATTCCATACAGCCGTTTAATTGTTATTATTTCCCTATAATTTATTACTGCCCTGAGTGGTAAACGTCGAATCAATAAGATTATCCTGGCTTATATACACGGAGTTCCGTACGGCTTGACGAACAATTATTTATTTGGTGCTGAACGTGTCTCATGTCGCAGGTGCTGCCCGCTGACCTGCGCTCCCGTGACCTCGGCAGGGACAAGCCCGACCAGGTCAGTGCCGTCACCACTACATCCTCCGCCAGGAAGAAAGCTCCTGTTTCCGTTACTAAAATTAAGTTTTAATGTACTATTTAGGATTGAACCGTTCGATAAATAAATTAATTTTCGGGGGGAGAGCGGGAGCGAAGAAAAATACCAATTGGGCGTCTCGTGTAATACGTTATCAATCTCAAATTCGTCTTTGTAGTTTACGATTTAAAATTCAACCTAGAATTTACAACACAGGTACCACAAATGCCAGGACAGTAATTCATGATACGGTGTTCCATATCAGGTCATATACATTGTATTTGCATTCCTGATTCAATCGTTATCTGCGAGAACGAAGGTGTTTGTTGAGATTTTGTTTCATTTAATGTTGCAAAGGATGAACGAAGCAGATAAGAGTTTAACACTTGATAAGATAAACGTCATTAGCTGGACACCGCGGGTGCCGTAGCACTGATACGAGCGTGAAGCTTGGGCAGTGAGTGGCATGTTCTGCTCTTACCTTGCAGTGTTCGGTTGACTTTGGTTTACTGTAGAAAGTGTACTTATTATAACTTCCTATACTGAAGACATAGTTGGACCCTTACTATAACTTTCTATCCTGAAGACATAGTTGGACCCTTACTATAACTTTCTATCCTGAAGACATAGTTATATTCAATGAGAATGTGGTTAAATGCCTTGAATTGGGAAGACTGTTTATACTTGCTGATAATTTTGTAAGTCTGTGCACAAACTTGAACAGATTCCAACGCCTTCTCTATGCTTACTGAAAATTCGAGAGAGTTCTGGCGGTTTTTGAGTTTTTTATTAAAAGAAGTTTTTCATTAATATCATAAATTACATACAATGTGAGTTGACAAATTTACATTTGGAAGAGCATTACCTGACAAGAGTGATTAAACTCGACGAAATTGTGCAAACGATGTCGCAAACCTTGGCTAAATTGGATCACTAAGCTAGAAAATTTTTGCTTTTTAGTAAGTGTGGCAGTTGAGCAGCAGTGTTTTATTGGGTGTTGACACCAGATATATAAATTCAGTTATCATATCGATGATAATTACATTGATATAATAATAAATCATCAGCGGTGATCGTACGTAATAGCGATGTAAGCATTATAATGCTAAGGGATGTGGCTGGACTGTGGAGTTTGCCGCTCGCCGCTCTGCGTGTGGTTGAGGAAAAGCGTTGCTTCTCTTGGATCTGTTCTATGCTTCTGGGTTAGTTTATTTATCGTAATTATTGTGTATAATTCTATAATTTATACTATATAGAATTATATATAATTAACAATGTGAATTATGCTAGGACGTTAGGGACTATTTGAAAAAATTCGAACCCCTTTGATTTGTTGCTTTTCCCTTATTTTATCGTAGTTACGGGATTGATTAGGGAAATATTTTGGGGTAAATTTAGTTCTAGATTTGGATATAAGCTCTCTGTTGCATGAGGCGCTTGAGGTAAGCTTATACATCGACGTCTTAACGAGTATAGGATCAATTACAATTCTTTTAAATTCATGAGCTTTAATAATAAAAATTATACTAATAATAATGAAATAAGCGGCAATATTAACGCCCACTGTTATTGGCAGGTGAGCGGCGCGCCGAGCCCGCCGCCCGCCGCCGCTGTCGGGGCCGCGGGTGAGGCGGCGGACGCCAGCGCCGCCGGCGGACCTTCCGACACAACCGCCCCCGCCGCTCCCGGTGAGCGGTTCAGTAATTGCTGTATCAATTTCGTCCATTATGGCATCCATTTTTCTATCTATTTTTCAATCCGTGAGCCAATCTATCATTCCATCCATGAGTCAATCTATCATTCCATCCATGAGTCAATCTATCATTCCATCCACGAGTCATTCTATCATCCTGTTGGATGAGCCTGCTCATTATGTCCATCATGACATCAATTATTTTGTTTTTGAGTTAACGTAGCGGTGGTCAAACGCAACTAGATAGGTAGCGTTGAGTCGTGGGTTCGAACCTCGTCCTGCTGCGAACATTCTGAGGAGTCTCTAGCATGCGGCTATGGATCTTAATATCTTGAAGTCATCTGCTATTTATCGATGAATTCATCCAGTAATGCGGTTTTTATTTCATCTATGATTTCTTCTATTACTGCACCCATAATTTAATCCGTGAAGTCATCAATTCATTCAACCATTATGTGGTCCATGATTTCATCTATTCATTTACATATAATCTAATTCAGGATATTATACATTAATGAAAATTGGATTTCATCCATCTTACCATACTAGATTACACCCATAAATGCACCTTCAATTTCATCTTTCATTGCATCCATTTCCCATATCTTTTAGCGCATTTTCTTATTTATGGAAAAAAGGCGCTATTGTGCTCACCATGTCCGTCCGTCTGTCCGTCCATCCGTCTGTCTGTCTGTCCGTCTGTGACTTCACGTTTTCGTCGACGAGAAAATACGCTCTCTGTCACTCACTGCAGAGAGTACTGAGTTATATATTTTACTATATTTCCTCGAAGTGCGTACCGAGTATGACTGACGAGCGGTTTTTTCCGCGCAGACGCCCCGCCCGGCGCCCCCGCGGCTGCCCCCGGGGCGGCGCCCTCCGACGAGCGCCACGTGAGCTTCGAAGAGGACGCGCCGCCCGCGCTGCCGCCCTCCGTGCTCCTCAAGAAGGACATCAAGTGCCCGACGGGGCCGCGGCAGCGATGGTTCTGGGCTTGCGATAAGGTCATCAGCCAGATACATGTGAGTACTAATAGCACTAATAAATTCTGAATAGTAATTAACTACTAATATTAACTATTAATTACTTACGTATGACAATAATAATAGCAACTGCTTCACTGCTAATTACCTGCTAATATGAACCAAATTATCCAGCCAGGTGCACGGGAGTACTAATTAATATTACTCATATATTGGGACGCTAGTAATTAAATACTAATATTAACTATTATTATTAATTACCTACTAATGCTAATAATGCAAGCAACTACTGCACTACTTACATAAGTGTTAATTTCCTGCTAAAAAGAACCAAATTATCCAGCCAGATTCACGTGAGCACTATAACCGTATGCAGCTACAGTTGCTATCGATTATTAATGTGTTTAAAAATCTTGCGCTAGTTGCACGTGATTACTAAAGCCGAATGCATCGACAGTTGTAGCAATTAACAAATATAAACAAAATGTTTGGGCCTTATCTACTTTGTACGGAAGCCGTCTGCCTCAGCAGATGTACGAATTGGCTTAGAGATCGTAAAGTGAAATATATGATCCCTGTGCGTACCTCTGCCTATCTAAATAGTGTATACACATTATTGTACAGTATCTTACTTTAACGTAGGGATCGATTACGGTGATAAACCAAGTAATTTATTTTAGGTCCAGGTGAGTTCAGCTTTCTAACTTCATACATGTAATCTTTCCTGCCTATTGCATCTGAACTGAAATAGAGTGGACTTTTTGTACCTAGATATAAATGCGAATTATCCATTTGATTATCATATGAGCTGTTTGTTCTTATTATCAATATGCTATCAATTAAGTTAAGAGGCACACTGTTGTATATCAAAGGACATCCGGGGCTCAGTTCTGAACATTCTGACCCAAGATATGAGATATGCTTGGGTAACATAAAAATCGCAGCAAAAGCGACACATAAGACCAATTTTCTTTTCACGTGCATCTCTCCTCAGTATTTGTCCAATATGTTGCAAAAAAGTCGTTTCTTAATTTTTAATCGCTTGTTTTCATCGCTTGACAGACGTGCTTTATTGCCTTGAGAAACTGCGCTTGGGGAAATTTTGCTTTAATCATTAATAATTAGATCGTTTTTACGTGCATTTAATATTTGAAATAATCATGACACGGCCACGTTTTCTTTTAGCATATGTTGTTTATAATTTTCCATTAGAGTTAGACTGTGGTTTCTATAAAATTTTCAGGCAATTTTTTAACATCAATCCACTGTTAAGCCAATGATGGACAGGCACATTAACTTTTAGGAAGAGATGGAATAATTTGTTTCAGTTATATATAAATCTGATTATTGTCGGGACCAATAAATAATTGTGGTATTACAAGTGAATATTTTTATTTCGGAGATTTAACTAAGCCTGAACTTGTGAATCCACATTAAAAAGTTACTCCGGTATGTTTAAAGCCGCAAGTGCAAGTGTATTATTCGTTTGCTGATGCTTTCACCGTATCCGTATTGCACGGATACGTACGTTATCCTTCGAATTAACACAATACGCTAAGATTTTTGGCTGTTGCAAAACCAAAATGAGAGAATGTAAATGATCTCATGAATGTTCAAGAGAATCTGATTAGTGATCTTCATACTTTTCTTCTTACTTCATTGTTGAAATGTTTTTTTGGTGAATGTTACTCTGTATGTGTACATGTACTCGGCTTTGAGCTGACCACTTGCAAATTGGTAAACGAAATTTCGTATCGATCTCGAATTTTTTTTCAATGAGGTCAACTTGTACTAGACGTTGTCCCTTCGAAATTCACGTACAACGCGGCGCGGCCGTGCTATCAACGAAAAATTCTGTATACACTTCGGTCCTAGAACTTTGATTTCTGAAATTACAAAATGTTGCAATAACAAAGTTGGGAAGAGTCCCTTTGTTGGTCGCCCGTCGGCTGTTGTGTTTTTGTTCTTACAAGCGCCTTATTTTCGGCGAAAAAATAAACATACTATTTACATTTTCCAGCACCTGGGCACATCTAGAATATACTTAGTTATTGCGTTGTTTTAGTTTTTTTTAGTCGGCAACTTTGATAATAATTTGTTATTATGGCGCCATAAAATAAAACAATATTTTGTTTATTCTCATGTTTCTATTCATTGCTTGGCCCGCGAATCTGATAACGTTCAGTTTTGGGCAAGCTATTTGTAATTAAGATTAACAGGCATTATATTTAATCGGTGAAACTATTCAGTTAACCTTAACCCAAATGCTACCTACTACCAAAGAATATTGGAAACCATCAACGCCATTAACCATTAATCATGAGTTTAGATGAATAATAAATAGGCTGGCATGTTCCGTGTGTTCTAACAGTTAGAATTTACGTCGTCGCAGAATTTACGAATATATTTATTCATGGTAAAATTTACGTCGTCGCAGAATTTACGAATTTATTTATTTATGGTAGAATTTACGTCGTCGCAGAATTTACGAATTTATTAAATTTATTGTAGAATTTACGTCGTCGCAGAATTTACGAATTTATTAAATTTATTGTAGAATTTACGTCGTCGCAGAGTTAACGAATTTATTTAATTTATGATAGAATTTACGTCGTCGCAGAATTTACGAATTTATTTAATTTATGGTAGAATTTACGTCGTCGCAGAATTTACGAATTTATTTAATTTATGGTAGAATTAACGTCGTCGCAGAATTTACGAATTTATTTAATTTATTGTAGAATTTACGTCGTCGCAGAATTTACGAATTTATTTAATTTATAGTAGAATTTACGTCGTCCAATTTTTACGTCAACACGACGCAGCGGCGGTGAAATGATACGGAGACTGCGGGGACTTGTGTGGTGGGAGGGACGGAGACTGCGGGGACTTGTGTGGTGGGAGGGACGGAGACTGCGGGGACTTGTGTGGTGGGGGGACCCAGCAGTTTTATTACAGTCCCAACGGGGGGATTGAGAGTTGATGGGAAAATTCGTAAAATGAAAATAAGTTGATAAAAAATAAGTGAAAAATGAGTTGACGATAATTTGATCTGGAATGAAAGTAATGTTCACCAAAACAATGAGGAAACTGACGTCATATACAATAGAAACTATATGGAAAATGACTACACGGTAGGGATAACGTTTACTACAGTTTGGTATACTGTTCGCCATATAAGGTGCTATAAACATATTCTGTTGTAGAGAATGGGCTTAGTCCGAATGCCTTCTTGTGACATCTTTTTCTGAGCTCACAAATTTTCTGATAAGAGTTCATCGAATCCATTGTGAGCGGAATCAAGCAGTCAAGCGAAACATTTCGTCATTAATTAAAAAGTAGTTACGATAAAATAAATAAAAAATATTCCAAGTGAAATTGCTTCATATGCGCTGGTGATACGGCCAAGCCACAGCAGAAAGGAACACTTACATGATTATTTTTCAGAAATGAACACTTTCTATATTAATTTTCCTATAAAATATATCAGTACATTGCATCAAATTAATCTAGGGAACCTCAGCCCACAAGAAAGCAAACAAGTGGTGCGTAAATGACATTAGGGCGAGGGAGCGAGAGGGCGAGAGAAGGAGCGGGACAGCGCCCGCGCTATGGCAGCCGAAGTGACCGCTCGGTAGGCGACAGCGTCCAGTTAGTGCTGTGCTAGTGCTGACGTGTTGGTGTGTCTTAGTGCTGCGCTAGTGCTGACGTGTTGGTGTGTCTTGCTTAGTGCTGCTGTTGTGCTACTTATTATTCGAAATGTTGTATTTATCAACGTTTATTCGCGCGTGTTTACGAAGTCGTTAGAAAAATGCATTATACATTCTCGATTTAATTACAATTTATCATATATTGTCTTATTTGTGTGAGTTGCTAGGAAATTTTTTTACCATTAATTGATGCTAATCCGTCGACATCGTGGGTGTAGAATTGAATCTGGGATAATTCCCGTTAACTTAATTTTTTTGTAAGTACGGAGGTCATGTTGATGCGATATGTCCGATTCGATTGTGCCAAGGTACAACTAGTTTGCGGGCCTTCTGTAATTACCTGGGGCCATATTTTCAAAAAAAGTTAAGAGATTGTAAGTTCACCAGCCAATCATTGACGGTCTTTCAAGCAAAATCTACCAATCATAGATAAGAAAATAGAGCGTAAGTAATTACGTTCACTTAGCGAATTTTGAAAGTATGGCCCCTGGCGCAAAGGAAAACGTTAATTAGATTGCATTTATATGCTGAGCACAACACTTCTCACTATGTGTATACAACAACAAAAGCTAAGCTTTCACTCTAAAATGAGGATTTTGATTCCTAATTGAGACAAACAGTAAGCAGTTAGTATCATCAAGGTGTATTATAGTTACGATGTAGCAGATCGTTCTATCGTTCGAATCCCTGGACCCCTACCTATTTCTCGACCCTACCAACTATGTACCTTTTGTTCTAAAAATTGTACGCAATGAATGTGAAAAAACCTAAAGATAATCCTTGTTTAATGAAATTTTCATTATTTGTGAAATCTTTCCTCGCTTCTATTCTATAATAATAGATTCATTCCTGGGTCTCACAAAATCTATTAGGACCCATGTCTTGACTCATGAATATCTACTTGCTAGATATTTCACTAAAGTATTAGTCACTCGCATTCGCTGTCGGCAATTATATATGTATGTTACTTTGAAAGAAGTTGACCTTGCCAGTCTGAGGGCTGCACTTTATATCTCCAAGGTTCCCTAGTTATACTCTCTTGTTTCAAATCTCTTCAATGCCAGACTTTATCAACGTCCTCACTTCACTGCCGGAATCATTTATTCTTCTGTTTCACTTCATAATGAAGTGGGCTGTGACACTCACAAAATTAGAGACAAGGCACATGTTTTCGTCACTCACAGCTGTGTTCCAGTCTAACCTTGACCACCACAAACCTGAACACTTGTACACTGTACAGTGTACAGATAAGGCTCCATACTTTTAATCTGTTCTTGTTTCTGCTGCACGTTTTCTCCTGGTCATATTTTTGGAATATTCGAACGAAGAATAAAGATGATATAATTAAGCTCATTCCGAACGCTAATCCACGAAAAAACTCATTAGTTATTACGATGCGTTAGTAGAAGGGGGCTATCACCCTTTTAAGGTGATAATTGAGGTTTGCGATTGTTAGTATTACAATCGTATAAGGTCAACTTTACGATCTCAGTCAAACTTACATTCATCACAAGACATGCAGTCCTTTGCAAACTCACAGGACCGAAGCAAGAATTGTTGGAAAATGTTGACTTGGAATAATAAATAGCCTTTATGCTCGCATGTGTAGTTATGCTTTACGGACTGCATTCATTATTCGTGCATTTGGGAACGTATTATTCGCAAGCTGGTGAACCTGATGCATATTTTTTATCACTTTCTTATATTTAAGCGGACTTTTTGTATTTTTTATATTTTCCACTTTTTTATATTT